TTGTCTTTTCTTGCATAGAGATGAGTGGAACTTAATATGGGTGGCAAGGCTAGAAACTAAGTTAAAAAATTTTCTTATTGAAACTCACAATTTGGCAAGCACGTGGTACATACATTCTAGGTAGTAATTTTGGGGTTGTTGTTTTTTACTTGTTCTCTGAATCTACACTTATCATGGGTGCCCAGTCTATGTTTGTGATTTCTTTAAGACCAAAAGAGATTGCTGTTGAATAAGTTGAAAAGGGGTTGAAAGGCTAGAATAACTTAAAAATTGCATCAGATAGGTGCAGGGAATCCTGCATACTGCTGGCATGAAGGACTTTACAAGTTCCTTAATGTGGACTTCTGCAGAAGCTGATGTTAAAAGATTTTTACCTTATATTGAGAGTTATGTGAGAACACTTTGCTCTCATGAAACTAAATGCTTGAATATCAATTGCTTTGATTAACCCTTATGCTATGCCTAATGGGTCTTGGTCATTTGACCAAGTAGTAAAAAGGTTGTTTTATGTACATGTCTGAATTGGTGTACATATGCTGTAGTTTAATGTGTTAAGGCATTTGTTTTTAGTTAATTTGTTTATTTCTCTCTTCCTGATGAAAGAATATTTAGTCAGCTAAACATGGTACTTTTTGTTTAATAGGTTGTCATTGTTTATGTGATCTTATGATCTTATAATCTCAACCCTTTATGGACACTAGTTGGAGGTTTTATGACATTTACAACAGTATAGAAAACAGTGCCTCAGTTGAACAATCATCCTTTTTTGGTATATTCAGTATAGAATGGAAGATGGATTGTCAAGCTTCTGGGGTCCTGTCACAACCACTGAATGGTGTGAGAAAAACTATATTCACTCATCTTACATTGCAGAGTTTTTCAACACAATATCCAATGTCCCAGGCATTCTTTTGGCACTCATTGGCGTTATAAATGCCTTAAGACAACGATTTGAGAAGAGGTTTAGTGTTCTTCACATATCTAACATGATACTTGCCATTGGAAGCATGCTGTACCACACCACACTGCAGCGCATGTAAGTATTCTTTTCACTTCTTACATTTGCATTGCCGTTCCTCCAAATGCTTTAGATGTTAGATGAATGTCTCACCAACAGAGATCTAATGTTAGAAACTATTGTTTTTGTATGATTGGAAGATCATTTTTCCTTGTTTGATTGGTTTAAGGAGTTTCTCAGTTTACTTGAATAGTGGAGTCACACCACAACTAGCAAATACTACAGATAGCTGAAGGTTTTTATTTTTCTTCCTACTTTTCAAAATGAACATTCCTTCTGTTATTAAACTTCAATAAATACATCTGGAATTGGCAAGAAAAATGCTTCACTCATGTTTTAGGTTGAAAAGCTTTTTCAGAGGAACTAGTGAAAAAAGTTATGCCTAAAGCACTTTTTTGATCTGCTTGCTCCTCAGTGTATGGCTCCCTTTGTCCCATGGTTCTTCTAGAGCATCTTTTCAAGGAGATGTGTTGGACTAATGTCTAAATTTTGACCGTTCCCTCATTATTTTTACTGCTCAAGGTGACATGAAATTTTGAAAGGTTCCAGAGGTAATGTTTTCAATATCTTATGGAAACTTATCTCTTTCTCTTCTGCCATATTTCTTTCTGCCTTTTACATCTTTTCTTAAGCATCATTAGTGTATTGAATATTTTTGCTTAAAGTCCTTTAATTTCATCAGGCCACTTTTGAATATTTGTTATGAATTCATTCCCTTCCTTGTGACATTTTAAATGCATTTATTACTTGAAAGAGATGTTTTATGTCTTTTATTTGGTCTTTTTTTTGAAGACTTACAACTATCTTTAGTTCACATTTACTTCCATCATTGACAAGTAATCCTGCTTTGTCTATGCTTTGGTGTATGGTGTTGATTTGCTGTCCTAGGAACTTAGACTGTTTGTTGTTCGTGTTAAGACTTTCTGCACCTGAGCATTTGGTTTAATGGTTAGTGCATGTTTGCAGTGCTCAAAGAGCTAGGTTGGATCCCCTGCCTCCCAATATATATGTGTGCCGTGTGTGTGTATATTAAATAAAAGGCTTTCTGGTTTTGGGACTATTTTATAGTACTAGATCTTTGTTTCTAACGCATGGACTTTTTTTAGTGCTTAACTTCCATTTTGCCTCTGCTGTTCAGCTATAACTTCTTTTGGCAATGTCAACATGTTCGTCTTTTTTCCCTCCAGAATAAGAACAATGAAACACTAAAACGGAAAGAGAAATAAAAGGTGCTGTGTACTCATATTAGTTTGATATGTAGATAAGGGCATTCGAAGGTGTTGATAACTTGAATGTAACCAAATGGAAGGTGTTCATTAATTATGCTAACCTTTTTCCTTTGCTAGTAGTCGTATGTTAAGTCACAGAATGGAGGGTGTCTTGTACAGGGGCGCTGACTATATCAATCCTATAGACATATTATATTATTGTCTTCTAAAGTTCATTGCAGGTTCATGGATGACTGTTGCTAGGCAACTAGGCCAGTAAACATTCGTGGCATGAAATTCTGTCAACGGTTGATTAGTTTCTTTTCTTTTCCTCATTGCTTAGCAGAAACAATGACTAAAAATTGAGGATTTATTTGATAATACTTCACTGTCCTGGTATCTTTTCCTTTTGATGAAAATGGGCACCTATGGGAAATGAACTTGAAAAACCATTGTTCATGTTATGTAGCTTTAAGAATTAAGAGCTTAAAAAACTTTAATCAGTTATTTGCCAAGTTGATTGGAGCTGTGAAAATTTCAATTTATTTTCAGGCAGCAGCAAGGTGATGAAACACCAATGGTGCGGCAAATGCTTCTGTACTTTTACATCCTCTACTCCCCAGATTGGCACTATCAAAGTACAATGCCTACTTGCCTGTTCTTTTACGGAGTTGGATTTGCAGTAGTCCATGCTCTCTTCTGCTTTGGAATCGGCTTCAAGGTGCATCATGTCATTCTCTGCCTTCTCTGCATCCCTTGCATGTACGAATACTACATCTACACTAATGATGTATCCTCAAAGTGACATGCAAAGTTATATGTAGCAACTTTGTTCCTGGGGAGTACTTGTTGGCTTTCTGACAGGGTATTCTGTGAGAAGATCTCTGGTTGGTACTTTAACCCTCAGGGTCATGCTCTATGGCATGTCTTGATGGGATTCAATTCATATTTTGCCAACACATTCCTGATGTTTTGTCACGCTCAGCTGCGAGGATGGGATCCGAAAGTAGTCCACTTCTTGGGTTTTTTCCCTTATTTCAAGATTCAAAAACCAAAGAGGCAGTGAAAACTTGCTGCACAAGTTATTTCTCTTTCCCCTTTCTACTCCCTCTGATTTTGGCACTAGGTGTTGTTTTGGCAGGTCACAGGCATAGGAATCACAATTCTTTTTTACCTTAGTGTCTTGAAAAATATGTAAATGATAATTTAATGTTGATATTATTGGTGGGACATTAGCCATTTTTTACTGTAACACTAGTGTTTTTGCCCTGCAAAGGAGAATAGAAAGTAGTTTATTTCTCCTTTCTCTTTAAATCATGTATGGGTTTCGCAGAGATATCACGGATTTTGACAAGTAGTATTACAGAATTTCATTTACTGTATTTGTGATAGAAATAGGAAAAAGAACTTTGATTTTTTTTTTTTTTTTTTTGTATTCAAACGAGCTAAATTTTGAATTATATGTTAATGATTTAATTTATTCTTTTTTCTTTTATCAATCTTCGGTCATGCAAATTTCTATAATCCTAATATTAGCAAAACCTTAATATGAGCCAAAAAGAAAACAAATGTTTTATGTATTCGGTGTTTAAACATAAATTGTGACACGAAAATTTTTTATTTTGTATATGTTTTATGCCAAACAAAAATAATATGAATACGCAAGTTGACACAACTATATTGATATTGATTACATACTCCACTACATGCATGTAGATGGAAATACTTCAAAACAGTTATTTTCCGAACAAAGCAAGAGCAGCAGTGATTAGAAGCGAGAGCTGCTAGAAAGGACATGAGAGCCCAAGCAGTGTTAATGTAGCCATATCAATTCGTTCCAGGGTTCCTAGCAATGCTTGTCCACACCAATATATATCTCCTGGTAATAAGATTCCCTGAAGATCTTAAAATGTTGGAAAAGCCTGTTGAACATTTTGCCTGCAACTTCCATGGTCCCCTACAAGCTATGTACTGATTGGTCGGGTTATTCATTGGTTTGTAGATGTAATAATTTGTTGTATATATTGAGGGTTGTGCGATTATGATTGTAATTTCTACTTTCATATGTTAAATTTTGGAAAAAGAAAAAGCTTTGGTAATGGTTGTCACGACAGAATGAGCTTCTAAACCAAGAGTCACTTTTTGTTCTTCATTTTGCAACCATTGTCCTCCTTGAGTTTGTTACTGGCGTAAGTGATATGCAGGCTGAACAATGGGCCAGTAAATGAGTGTCTCTGCTGAAGATGAAGCAGCGGAAGTAGTAACAAAAGGCCGGCAGTGTGGGTCAGTGTGGCTTCCTTCAATCATAGTTATATCATGCATTCATGCAGAATCTATTCATAGTAATTTTTTTTAATGCTATTTATTATTTTAAGTATGAAAAAACTATATAATTCTTGCATGTTAAGAAGTTTTGCTTTAGGGTATAAAAGATTCGAATATGCAAGAATTTTGTTAAATTTATAATCTGTTTATTTAATTAATGAATACTAAAATATTATTCATGATTATATTTTAAGTTTAATCAACGACAAAAATAAACTGAAATAAAAAATATTCACGAATTATTCATAAAATGTTCTATTAATTTTCACTTTACAATGTAAATGGATTGAATATAAATAAACTTTATTATATTCATAATTAATTTATTTATTTAACGACTATTAAAATATTTATTCATAGTCATTTATTAAACTTTATAAACGAATAAAAATAAAATATAATCACAAATTATTCTTCCAATAAAGTATTTTATTCATTTACATTCTTAATTTTGTTACCATGGATCATGTGTTTCTCCATTTGACATCTTGTTAGTTGAATCCCTGATGCCATCTGCATTGATTATACGGTGTCATTGAGAAATCAGAACTATGAGTATCCATCTGATTACAGTGTTGGGACCATGGAATTGCTTGTGATGCCGTACCATAATTTAATCGGAGTCAAGATGTTTCTGAAGCTCTACAGGAGGTGCCTCATAGTAGGAGAAGGCTCAGCATCCTCTTCCCTAGAGCAGGGCATTTGGTGAAATGTGACTTGACCTGGTCCTCTCTGGGAATTCAATGATGGTGGGGTTCCAAAACAATGATTTCGTTTGAAAACTTGTATACTTGCAAGATGTTGGCAATGGGTAGATAAAGACTAAGCCTATGGTGGTTGTGGCAGTTAATGTTTTGCACTTCTTTCTTACAGGGCCATGCTAAAAGTAGAGGTTGAGAGCTTCTTACTTATCAACGTGGGCATGATGGCATGATGATGATGCTCCGGTCCTCGATCGAAGGCTGTTAGTTGGTTAGCCTCCAACTCTTGTCCACCATTGTGGTCAAAGCAAAATGCTGGAAACCAAATTTGCAGTAAAAGCAAGAAAAATGAAAGCTTAAGTTTACTTCTGCTGTCTTTCATACTCTCATTATTGCATTTTGACAATCTGTGTTGCTTTCGTTTCATATCGTTGTCATATTTAAAATTATCATTTCGTATCATTTTCCGGTTTTGTTTCTTTTTTAGTCATATTTAAAATTATCGATTCTACTTACACGTTCAGTATTATTATTATTATTATTTCAGCAAGCATAGCTTGTGCAGCTACATATGTTAGGCCTATGAAATCCTACCCCATTATCAAAGTAGTCATAGATCCACTCATAAACACTCACAATTCTAAAAACCGAAGCACACAGACAAAAAAGGAAGAAAACCAGTCAACCAAACCCAGGAATGAATGAAATCAATCAAAGTGAAGAACACACCTTCAAAACACAACCAATACACACCAAACTCTACAAATTCTACAATGAGAAATAACAGTTTTTGTCACCTGCACCGGGAGAAATGCACTGATCCGGACGTAACAATGTAGTCACTGATTAAAATAAACCATGAGAGACCTCTGAAATCAAGTGTTTGTTGTTAATTCTTTCGAGGATCGAGCAGTTCCAAAGGATTGCTGCACATCAAATAGGCACTTCTGTTGCTGCTTGTAAGGTAACCTGGTTAATGGTAATTGCTGTGGGAAGAGTTCTATGTATCTACATGATTTCAGTGGCAAGGTTAGAAAATTGCCATGGCTTCATGTACAAAACACTTTAAGGAAAGTTAAATGAAGCCCCGTTTTGCTTCGTTGGATGTTACTGCCCATCCTTTCAATGCAGAATACTTGATTAGCTTGCGTTTTCTCCCACTCTGACCCAATGTGAGGTGCATTATTGGTATGAAGTGTGAACAACACGGAGTCAGCTGCCCTTTACAAGTTGATGTTACTCTGGTAGTCCCTCAGCTAAGCTGGAAGCACATTATATTCACATTTCAGACTTTCATTTATGTAGCTTGTTATGGTGTCTTCCACTAAATCTTTAAGGATGGCTTCACCCATCTCAAAACCAACACAACCAATGTCGACTCGAAGGTCCATCCATGTTCCTGTCTTAGCCAAGTCTTTTCTAACTATCTGGTCCAAAGTACGAGGCAGCGGCATTTGGAGCAAATGCCAATAAACTCCTTGCCAGACCTCTTGAAGGGTATTTTTCATGTTTGGGATAGGACGGATATTGGGTTTAACGAATGAAACGCCAGGGGAACCAAAATAGTACCCACAAACCTCCATGAGAACTTCATTAATGCAATTGAAGAGCAGTTTCTGGTCATGACAAAGCTGGTTGGGCAAGTATTCTACCTCATCAAGCAACAATGGGTCAAGAAGCAAGTCTGAAGAAAGTGACCTGATGTAGATTTCATCCCAGCTGAAACTAGAGGCTTGCAGCACTGCCTTTATGTGCTCAAATATTAACTCCTTATCATCCATACAAGTTTTAATACGATTACTCTGATTTGTGGCCAATGAGCCATGTCCTTCGAATTGAATTCTTAGTGGTTGTATGGATGTTTCACCTGAAGATTGGTAAACAAATTGGCATTAGACAAAATGTGGCACAACAAAGTTGAAAACAAATGTAGAATGTGAAACAAACAAAAGACTTTCTCATATGCCTACCAAAATTAGATCTGATGTTTGCAGGGCTGATAACATCCTCAGCAAATATTGGCTCAAGAACAGATACAGGACTTGGTCGCTCCTGTATATCAGTAACACCCTCTAGACATTCAACCTTTTTGGTGACTGATGAGTTTGATGGAGAAACTAATGGAGAAAAAGGCTGTTGATCCTCATCAGATGAATCCTGGAGAGAAAAAACAATTAGTTGGATGAGATAAAATATAGACAACAAAATGGAAAAATGGCATGATATGTAGAAGAGCCTCTATTTTTCTTTTGGGGATTTTAGCTCCTACTTCAACATAATAATACAACATCAAGACAATATTAAATATGCCATATCATTTTCCATCTTCTTGGTGGAAGATGGGAGATTAATTGAAGGGCATAAGCAGCCTGTATTCATCATTCTGAGTTTCTTCTTAATCACTTCACAATCTATATACCGGTATGTGGCATCATCATACCTGTTTCAAGCACTGAGGATATTGTTTTTCATCAGGAACTTCACATTTATCAACATTTTTGTCTTCTTTAGTAATTGAAGAGTCACTTGTCTCAGAAGAAGCATCCGGGAGCTTGCTTTCTTCCTGAACCATCATTTCAGTTTCTTTAACAACACTCACAGCACCTGCATAAATTTTATGAAGGTTAAACATTAATAAAAAAACCTGGATATTCATGATTGTCGTTATAAATTGGACAAATGCAACACATACCTTTGGAACTCATTTCATCTTTAGTAGAAAAAAATTTTTGGTCATCTTTGTCATTATTAACACAACGGTCAAGGTTCTTTGAAATTGCATTATCACCTTGGATTTCATTACTGGTTTTGTTATCAGATATGCAAAGCTGGCTCTCTGTCTTCTCTGCCACTTGACTAAGATTGCTGACAAGGTTGAGTTGATTGTTTTCACTCACCTTCTGAAATTTTTCAGAGCCTGCAAATCTCGTCTGTGCAGTTATAAAACTAGGCTCCGAGTTCCTACCAGGGCTGCAAACAGGGGATGAGTTATACTCAGGAAGAGACAGAACCCTACCTAAGGTTTTTGGGACCTGTCTGCTTGAAAGATCCACATTTTCATCTCCATTTGTTAGCATCTCAGAGAGATGTTTCTTTGCCTCAATATAGATGTTTGAAACCCTTTGCCTGGAAAAATCAGTAGTCTCATACCCGGTACCTAGTTCAGAGCCTTTGAGCTTGCTTGTCTTTTCTCCTTTTTTAATACCAATAGAAGGTATGGCCATTCTTTCAATAAAGAAGTGATCTTTAGTTGGAGAACTCATCCCAATATATTCCTTAACTCCACTGTCCCGTGAATTTTGCCGCTCACCAGGAAATCTTTTTGATATACCATCAGTGGGGATTTTATGTTGCTCTCTTCCCATAGCATGCTTCAATTTTCTTTTTATTTCAGCAAGAAAAAAGTGGGAACTAACTTTCTCATTCAGCTCCCTTTGTCGGATGATGTACTGAGATTCTGGAGATGAACCAAGGCTGCTTCCAGTTTCAGGAGTTTGCAAGCATGTTGGCCCAGGCTTCAAAATTACAATTTTATTTGAAGCTTGAGAAATCTTATTTCCATCCGGTAGGTCTCTTTCCTGAGACTTGGACCTTCTTCTAAAGAAATTACGCTGTTTTCTATTAACAGGCTCATTGGATTGTCTCAAACCAACAGGCTCCTGCTCTGAAAAATTGGATCCAGCAAGAGGCTTAGACTCTTCATCCTTTAATCGAGCATCTGGCAAGTCTTGAACATATTTCACTAACAATGAGTTTGGATCTCGTAGAAGTTTCAAAAACAATTCCTCATCTAAACTCAAAATCTGAAGTGCGTCCATGACTTCTTTTGAGGCTTGGAGTTCACCATCTTTTGTAAGTTGATTCCCGTTAAGAAGCTTCTGACTCACTAAGAACTTGATTGCCTCACTCAATCTTTCTTCAAAAGCAGAGCTTTTCTGTTTTAGCTGCACATGACCTTCAGCAGGCTGGTCATGATTCACACAATTGATTCTTTTCTGATGGATTTGCCGACAAAACTCTTCCATTAGATTGTCTATATCGAGATTGCTTGTAGTTTGTTGTTCTGATTTATTCAGACAAGATCCTTCTGATACCAAGTTCTCCGCAGCATCCATATCAAGACTGTTACCAGAACTTTTCTTGCGATTTTTCTTTTGTCTTTTCCGGTTCTTCCTTCCATTGTCTCCTTGCCCAGAACCAAACTGTTTTGCTTCAACTTCAGTATCATTTGCCTTTTTCTTTGCAACCTTCTCTCCAGACATTTCTTCTTCTAGGAGTTTCTTCACACTTGGCTTCCATGCATCAGGCACTGTTGTCTTCTCTTCACTATCCTGAAAAATACAAAAAGAAATGGTAACATCAATAACAAATGAACAGCTTTCTCCATTGATGATTTATCTTACGCTCACAATAATTCTGCCCTTCTAATGAATATACAGCAATTTTCAAAATTATGTTGGATTTGGGTTAAGTTTCCAAAGCTTACAAGAGTTCCTGGACGATTGTCGCCAGAACTAGTCAACATGTCGCATTTATTTCCTGCATTTCCCACACCTGCAAAGTTGAAATTGCAGCATTAAGGAATTAGCAGGTTTCTGCTTTCATGGATAAATGAAGTATAGCTTAAAAATATACTAAGAAAAAACAAATTTCAGATTTAACGACACAAACAAACCAAATTATCTCTTAATGCTAAAAGGACAATCCAAAAAGACCATTTATAATCGCTTCACGACTTTAAATAGAGTTCAATCCACATGCATGCAAATGCTTCAAAGTTTCTTAGAGAACTTACCAACTGCATTTCTGTTCCCGCGTCTTCTATCAGAAAGCAGTCTCTGAGTTGATCGACCATGGCGGAAGTCAAACATACTAATCAAGCCCCACATACAGCCCAACTGATCCTTTTCATGTCGTACAGGACGTTTATTTGATCTTTTGGCCATGATTAATGGGTTTTTATTTGAGATTATAATGCTTTGGCAATCGAAAATTTTTGTTGACAGGTGACTTCGAATCTGATAAACAGATAGAATCACCAGTTAGAAGGATATAATAAAGAAATATAAGACCTCAAATCTTCACCTATTTTCAAATTATAAGATAAGAACAGGGGAGACAAAGGCATCTTCATCATAGAGTTGCTGAGAGCTGTTTTGAAGAAATAGAAAAGACAGTGATATGTTGATATAAGTGCAAATAGACTGTCAGAAATCATGTAATTGTAGAAATATTTAACATTCACTGATTCACAACAGATGAACATCAAGCAAAACAGGAGGATAATTATCAAATAAAACAAAAAGTCTCTCTTGAATTGTCAGCCTCAGCTCTTTGCACAATTTCCTATGATAAAATCTACTTAACTGAATATTTCACACAAGCAAACAAACAGGTAAAGAATCATGACTGTCGGCAAGAAACTGGAAAGAGACAGGCCCTACAATCAGATCAGCCCAAATTTCATATGGTCATGAGAGACTCTTGACATTGATGATTATGCAGAACCAGACAATTCCTATGACAGATCAGCTTTTAGATTCATCAGCTCTTAATTTTCCTAAAACATTCCTAAACCCTTTCCATAATAAGCCTTTTTGATACAAACATGGCTCTTATCTCCCTCATGCAGCACCTAAATCCTAGTCCAGCAGTGTCACATAAGCTTTTTTCTTTTTCTTTCTCTTAATTTGATTTGCAAGGCAACATTCTATGGAAAAGGAAGGGATTGCAAGTGCTAGGATTCAAATCAGAACCTGCTGGATTACACATAATAGTGATTCTATGAATCATCTGAGCTAAGGGTTATCAAGCACCTCATCCCTTTAAATCAAAAAAAAAAAAAAGTTGCAAAACTAGAAAATTGATTGATTTGATGAGAGAAGAAGAAGAAATGCATGGACCTGAAATAAAGAGTTTCTCAAAATTCGATACCACCAAGAACTAGGAGAGCAGAAGTCAAAATGTAGCTGTATATGTTACCACAAAGGTAAAAATAACAACATTCCAATTTCGACAACTCAAGTTTCCCAAGCAGCGTAAACCACAAGGGAGGTCCAAAGCCAAAGCTGTCTTTCGATGCCAAGGTATCAAAGCTTTCTTTTTGCCTTCGCAAGCCTTAATCAGGGCCTCAAATTCCTCACTAAGGAACTCAGAGAATTTTTTTTTTGGCGCTTTTTCTTGGATCTTCACTTCAATGAAAAGATCAATTGCAATTCAAGGTTACAGATTGATGACACCTCAAGAATTCCTTTCCCAACTCTTCAATCAACGAAGAACATCCAAAGCCTTGACACTCCTCGAAGCTGTGCCTTTGCATGGCCTAAAGCCTTGACAGAATTATGCTATTTCTGTGCGACAGAATTGAAGTCCTGAAAAGACTGAACAGTTTCTTCTTGCCATTTTCAGTACAAGGCTCACCTTGAATGCCATATCTGCAACAACTTGAAACAACCAAATTCCCACTTCTTCCACGGATAGCAACAAAGAATCAAACTTTCTATAAACACCTAAATCAGTTCTCTTGAAAATTCTGATGGAAAACAAACTAAAACAGATTTTTTTTCTTTTTTTACTTCAATCTAAGAAGCCCGCTCCAAGCTCCCACCAATAAAAAAACAAAGGGAAAGCTAAAGAAACAGAACAAAAACTCAGGAAAATCTATGGGAAATAACAGTGGTAACAGGAGAGAAAACAAGGACTTATTCTTGGTGGTGGCATCTTTTGACAACCAAAAAGAAAAGAGGTGGCAAAGAAAATGCTTTATCTGGCACCGACCCTTGATTTTTTATGAAGAAAACTGAAATGGGCAGGCATTATAGACTGGGAAAAAGTCGGGAAAAAGAAAGAGTGGAGGATAGAAGAGAGAGAAAAATGGGAAAGAAAATGAAAGAAGAAGAAAAGACAGCTTTAACATTACAATGTTGTTGGCCAAAGACAAGAGAAGTGATAGAGTAGAACAAGTAGAGTACAGTTGGAAGAGAATACGTGACAGTTGTGGTTATGTTTGATGGAATCGTACCCCACTTTCAAAGCAAAAGTCAGAGAGAGAGAGCGCTTTAGCCTTAATGTTGAAGAAAAGTCTGCTCTCTCTCTCTCTGCTTGCCTGTTTTATTTGTGTCCTTGTATATATATATATATATATAGTTTTTGTTAGGATAGAAATAAATCGAACGAACTTTATTATTTTGTAACAGTAGATTAAGTTCAATAAATAAAAATAAAATATTTCAAAATTATTTGTTAAATGTTATGTTATTTTATATTTTTGGATATAAATAAATAAATAAATTTTATTATATTTATAAATATGTTTTTCAAATAATAAATTAAAATATAATTCATGATAATTTATTAAATTTAATATATAAATATAAAAAAATTAAATTATTTTTAAACTATTCTACAAATCATTATTATTTTTTCTCCCAGGACGATTGTTTCTTCCGCTTTCAACATCGTCACACTAACAATTTGAATCGAATTTAATTAAATTTATATTTTAAAATAATATATTATATTATAAATTTTAAAATTTTGATTTGAATTTAAATAAATATTTTTTAAAATTAATTTAATTTGATTTGAATCAAATTTATTGATTCAATTCGGTTTAATTTATAAATTTTTAAAATTTGATTTTTTATTTTTATATATTATTTAATAAAATTTTTAATATATTTAAAATAATTATTTTTTATTTTATAAAAAATAAAAATATATATAAATAAATAAAAATATATAATTTAATTTAATTTTTTTATAGTTTTTTACATTTCAATTCAAAATATAATTTAAATTTAATATATACATTTAATATCCAATTTTACTTTAAATCAAATCAAAAATTATAATTTAAAATTAATTTTTAATTTTTTTTTCCTTACCCTACTCTCATATCATCTCCAATAACTTTCTCTTTCTGGTAAAAAAGTGTAAAACTCTGCCTCAAATGCCTTATTTTTTGTGTATTTTTTCTTCCTCTTATATCTCTTCCAGGCAACTTGGCTGCAGTATCCCAGAAATTGTGTACATTGGCATGAGTAGGAGTGGGTTGGTGCGTCTACTTTTCTTGGTCTCTAGAGAGAGAAAGGCTAAGACCTGCCTGGCCTGGCCGGCCCTGGTGTGCTGTTGAGAAACGCGAAATGCAAATGCTTTTCCAAAGCTTTGACGGAAATGTAAGGTTGAAAATGTACGAAATGGATGTCACCTATTGACTGTATTCAGATCTGACATCAGCTACTACAACTTTATATAAACTTTGTTATATAATTCTCATTTTTCTTTTAAGTTTCAGCGAGATATGTAATATTTAGATTTAATAATTTTATAAATGATACAATGATATAATTAAAAAAAATTTTTAAAATTATATATAAATTTGATAAAAAATAAATAAATATTTTATATTTAATATATCGATATAAATTATGATACGATAATTTTTATAATTTATATATATTTGATATTAAATAAATTAATATAAACATATAAATTATCAAATTTATCAAATCTTAAAATTAGTAAATAGTAGTGAGATAATTTTTTTATTATTATTTCATAAGGATTATCAATTTATAATAAAATTGATTTTTTCATTATATATGAAAATCCATTCATCATTTAAAAATGGAAATTAACAAAAATTTTATTATTTAATAAATATTGATAAAATTTAAATTATAATTAATATTTTTAATAATTTTTTTACATGTTATTGATTTTCATATTAAACTCTATCAATTTATCAGTTTTAATTTTTTATTAAAGTTTTTATTAATTTTTTTTAATTTCACAAACTTTTCCTAAAAAATTTTATATAAATTTTATTCTGCTTTTACACAGAAAAACATTAATTTTTGGGTGAACCAAAAAAATTATTAAAAGATATAAAAGTTGGAAAAAAATGAATAATAAATATACAATAACGAAGGAGTACAAGTAAAAAACCCACAAAAAATGGAAATGAAAGTATACCTTTGAGTGACTTCTACGTTATACCTTTTGCTTTTAAAAATTATAGTTAGTCCCATAAATAAAATAAAAAATTATATTTAGTGCTGATAATGTAATTCTAGTTTTGATAAAGAGTAGATTCCTTGGAAACTAAATTGATGAGTTTGTCAAATGAGAATGGTTAGCGGTTCCATAGTTAAAATTTCGGAACGTATTTTAATATTCAAGTTAATTAAATATATAAAAAAAAAGTATAAAGAGTAATGAAAATAGTTGCATATCTAATTTTATTTTTTTAAAAGAATTATTTAATATATTTTTATCAAAAAAAATCTTAAATAATTTATAAAAAAAATTGAATGGAATTATATTTTATTAAAATTTTTAATAAAATATAATAAAAAATTAATATCATATATATCAAAAAAATTATGATAATTATTCAAAAATTATTATTCGTGAATTCTCTTTAATTAAATTAATAAATCTAAAAATAAAATATCTTAAAAATAAAAAAATAAATCTCAAATATCTTTTTTTTTTTTAATTTATAATTTCACGAATCAAATATCATTTAAAAGTAAATTTTAATGACATGATAGATAACATGGACACCAAGCTGTAACAAATGCTTTATTATTATTCTTTTTAAAAGTATAATAATAATAATAATTTTTATTATTATTATTATTATTAAAGTCATATTTTGTCCTTGCATGCAATTCTTCGAAGGAGGAGGTGCATGTTATGTATAATACAAGTAGAATATTACAGCAAAATAAATGATGAAGTTTGTGGTGGTGGAAGCCACCATATGGCCTTTTTGTTTCTTGATTTTGACTCAATAGCTATTATGGTGGTAATGATACTTTGTTTTTGAATTCAAATATGCCTCTAATTTTATCGAATTATTATTATTATTATTATTATTGAAAATTTTGAAAATCCTTCTTTTGGCCGCCATTTGCATACAAATTCACTGAGAAAAAAATAGTAACAAAATTTTAATGGAGGGAAAATGGCCCAAAAAAATAAATATATAAAAATTCAATCTTCAACCTCAACTGTTAAGGGTAACAATCTAATTGTTATGAAAACTTAATTATTATTTGGTTGTTTTTCTTGAAAGAAAAATAATTTATTAATAAAAGAAAAAATTACAAACAAATATCCACTTTAAAATAAATATATAAAAAATTAATTTTTTTTTAAAATTTATTTATTAATAAAATAATATCGTTTTTATTTATTTTATTAATAAAACAGTATTATTCAATTTATTGAGGTTGTGTAAAATTTATGTTTTAACAATAAAATATTTGTTAAATACAAACGCTTAATGTTTATTTATGGGAGGGAGGCTGACAGCTGCCATGTTCGTTTCGCATGAGGCTTGACTAGAAGGGGTTATGTTATTTGGTCCGAAATTAGTTTCTTAGAAGTCGGTTGACATTCGTAACACCAAATTGTTTAAAAAAAAAATTGAACTTGGAAGTCATCGTACTGTTATTTCCATTCAATTAACTCTGTTACTCTAGCATTTCTCGACCAAAAAAAAAAAAAAACCGGTAATGCTATATAATACGCCTTTGTTAGATGAAAAAAATCTTCATGTTTAGTCATTGTTATTTTGAATCAGGGTAATAAACAATATATCATATTTTTATTATTTGAGTTTAACTTAAATAAAATTTGAATTTAATTTAATTATTATCTAGTTAAATTCGAGTTTAAGTAATTAAATTTATCAAGTGAGTTAAATTTAAACATTTTAATATCTAATTTGAATAACTCATGAATTTAATTAAACATTTAAATTTTAATATATTTTTATTATTTTATTTAAAATTATTATTTTATTATATATATAAATTTGAATTAAAACTTGAGTTCGAATACATAATCAAACTTGAAATCCAACATAAGAATCTAGTTTATTTTTTATTAGACGAATTTAATCGAATGAGTTTGGATAACTTGATTTTTATTTCAAGTCAAATTTAAATTTAATTTCAAGTCGAACTTGAATTTAAAAATTAAAATTCAATCAAGCTTGAGTTGAGTTTCGTATAATAAATTTTAAATTGAGTTTGAATTTGAACTTATTACTATATTGATTTAGTTCGACTCAATTGTACTTCTAATTGCAATTAGATTGAAAGTCAAATAATGATAAATAAATCTTAAATTTAATTCAGTTAATTCATAGATTAATTATTAAAAAAATTTAATGTTCAAATCCAAATACTTATAATCTTTTTTTTTATTTTCATATTACAATCTTTTTCTTGTAAAAAATTTTTTACAAACAGTTGGAAAGTATATGCTCCAAATTTTCCTAAATTTTCTAAAAAAAGACAAAGAGAAAGAACAATCTGACCCCTTTTTATTTTTTAATTCATTGTTAAAATTAAATGACCTGAAGTAACTTTTACTACATGTTTATTCTGAATTAAGTGTCAAAATTACTAATTTTAGAAGTCTCCAATTGCATTAAAAAAAAAAAAGGAAAATCAACCCTGACATAATTTTACTTCAAAAAATCCTTTGGGGAAACATTGGTCTGATTCTATTGTCCAAAGGTGAGACAGCTTTGTCATGCAAAAAAAAAAGAAACAAATTTTTTTTTTTTTTCATTATATAAAAAGCAGAAGACAGCTTTGTCCAAAGGCAAGGGGACTGGCTGTGGGGAAACCAAGGCATGCAAATGCAAAATTATTATGAAAGCAATGGGTTTTTATGTTTGTACAATGCGCGTGCATGTGAGGAGAAGCAGCCGGACCGGGCCACTCCTCCACCCTCGCTCTATGTAATGAATTAAAAACAAACATGATCATTTTTATAGTATCATATAAAATATTAATAATTTATATATTTATATAATATTTTATATAAAAATTATATATTATTATTAATATATATGAAAATATAAAATATATATTTTTTATTTTATCAAATTTATATAATTTTTATTTAAATTTAAAATTATATTATTTTTATTATATATATATTATCGTATGATATTTTAAATTAAAATGTTCCATTTGTTATTTACCAACTCCGACGGTGACTTGACTCTTCAAGCCATATGAGACAACAAGCTGCCACAAACAACATATACTCGTAAAATTTTTTTTATTGTTAAAATTTAAATATAATAATTATTTCTTTGTTTGTTAAGTTTTTGAGCTTATTAAACTTTTGACTTAATACGGTAAGAAAATGAAAGCTTGATTTTTAATTTTAATAATTAAAATTTAATTGTTGATAACTTTAATTATTAAAAAATTAAAAATCTTAAATTCAATTCACAAAATTCATGAAATTATTTTTTATTTATTATTATAAATCATCTTTCTTTCATTTGTTACGTACATAAATATATACATTCGAACTTCAATATAATAGCTAAATAATTTTCTATCAATATAAACTTTTGATATAATCAATCATCTAATTTAACAAATACTAACAATAATAAGATAACATTTATAAAGAAAAGAAAAAAAATATGTTGAATTTATGATTATAGCAATAATAGATATGATAATCTAAATAATAAGGTTATCAAAAGTATGCATTATTATTATTATTATTATTATTATTATTATTATTATTATTTGGAGTGGTCAATAGTAGTGGTTGGCCAAATGCACTAGTGCTTTCCAACTCCAAACCTTTGGAATCTATTGGCATCATCTCAATTGTTTTTGTTTTGGAGTGAACTTTTTGTGTTTAAGTGAAGAAGAAAGTTTTGTTGTGATGCTTTGTGGGGGGACCCTTGATCGCTATGGAATATATACCATCAAAATCTAACACCAAAACCCATTGTTAATCACTTACATTGGATGCAATTCAACATGATAGTGACATATAGAAAGTGACTGGTTAACACCATTTATGTATTTATTTCTTTTCATAGCACATTTAAGAGATTATTGAAAATAACACCCCAAAATAAAATTGTTTTTTTCTTTATATTATTGCATTTTTTTTTTTTTTGCATGCAAGAATTGTGGCAACTTTTTTCTTACTTGGTTTTAAAGATATTCAAGAAGATGTGTTCTTTGCGAGTAGACTTAATAATTTTTATATTTATATTTATAAAATATTAATAATTTATGAATTTATATCATATTTTATACGATAATTAAGTATTATAATATATGTTAACATGAAAATATGAATTTTTTTTATTTTGTTAAATTTATTTATAATTTTTGTTAAAATTTTAAATTATATCATTTTCATATTTTTTATTTATATTATTTTCGTGTTGTGTTACTTTATTGTGTTTAAAATTATCAGGTCTATTAGATAAAATAAGATTAAGAGGACCAAGAAAAAAAAAAAAAACCTATATGTTCTTACTTTCAATTATTTTATTATGTTCCAATTTCAAAGCAAAAATCATGTATGACTTGGTTGGAAAATGTCAGTCCAAAGTTTTATTGACTATGTTTTTTTATTAAACCAAACTTGATAATTTAGATTAGTTTTGGTGGAAGTAAGTAAGTTCACCCAATAATTATTTCATTTTAGATACTAATATTATTATAAAAATGAAAAATGGGATGTAACCCAAAAATCCAGCATAGAGTTGGTTGAGGGTTAGATAACCAAATTAGGTCATTACATTACAATATTCAATTTGGAACTATGCTTTTATGTCAGGACAGTTCACTAGGTTGGTGGCTGTCATGTAAGAAGTGATATCAACTTGCTAAAGCATTTTTGTCTTAACACTCCCTCCCTTTCTTTTACTTAAACATTTTTTTATTATATATAGCTAATCCATTTTTGCTTTAGATTTTAGCATTAGGAGGTTATGCAATATCCATCTCATTTGCATGTCATTTTAACCATTTTTGGATCAAATTGTTTTGTTAAGTTGGTGGAGATAATTATCAAATTTATTTTCTAATTTTTTATTATGGATGTTTGACTAATAACCCAAGTTCTTATAAATAATAACAAAGAGTGTGTAAATCTTGATTTAGATTTGCTTAGTATAATTAAATAAGATAGAAAGAGAGGCAATTTGAATAGTAAATTATTTTTTTTCTTTTGATTATAATAGATTTGATTCATGGGTCAAATGATTTATTAATTTTAAGGGTTTGATTAAGTTTAGGGAAAAATTTTCAAACTTAGATTTAGCTCCTAAAAATATTTTATTATTAGATAATTTATTTTAATTTTAAATATATATTTATAAATATTATTATATAATATCTTTTAATATTTTAATAACACATTTAAATAAAATGAACATAAATGGATTTTTAATGGATGAATTGAATTTTGGGAAATTATTTTGGTGTGGATCGGGTCTAATCCAATATGTGGATACCTCTTTTTTAATACAAGTGAGAATAAAATTTTAAAAAAAATTATATATACAAGAAATTAAATTTCAACCTTACAAGAATTCACCTTTAAAAAAAAAATCGAATAAATTGGTAAATCTTGTATTCGAGTACGTTTCCATTGGCAATGTAAATTTTGTGTATCCAAATGGATTCCCACCTCATATCATACCTCAAATCTAAGAGAAAGAAAGCAAAAATCCCCATCAAGTAGCATATTGTCAACAAAGAAAATAATGAAACTTAATGGCGTTGAAATATACTTGTGCTTTAACTTTATTATGCATGAATGCTTATGAGTTGGCTAATGGGAAAGAGAAAAAAAAAAAAGTAAAACCATACCTCATCGAAACTTAATGTCAAATTTTTATTATGATACAATAATACGATATAAAAATTAAATATAAAAATAATATAATTAAAATTTTAATAATTATTATATATGAATTTAATAAAATTAAAAAATTATATTTTATTATTTTTTATTGATTCGAATTATAATATATAATTTTTATATAAAATATAAAATAAATACATAATTCATCAAATCTAATATAGACAATCATCGACCCACATTTTCAAATGCTTGAAATTTTGGTTTCAACAAATCCAATTATTAACGTAAAATCATCTAGAACTTGATGTGGTGTGGGTTGTGTTGGTGGTCACCATTGTTCAAGTTAATTTTGTTTTGTTCAATCATGAAATTTTGACGTGATTTAATTAAAGTAACAATATTTAATTTAAATATTATAGTAATTTAACGTGATCTGATATTTAGAATGATAATAATTAGTTAATAGTTGGATTATTTCATATTTAGTAAATTTCAAGATTATAATATTTTTGTTAAGAATAATAGTTTGTTAAGGTAGATGCTTTATATAGGCTCCAACATCATTAAGAAAAAAAGAAAGGGTTCGTGATATGTCTTGATCTTCCTTATAAGACAAGATAGCTATATGGTTAGAGGAATAAATAAAGGGATTGTGAAGGAAGCAAACAATTTCTACCAATCTGATAATCATTGTTGGAAGAATAGAAAAAAAAATTAAAGAGAATTTTTCATTAAAGTATTTATTTAGACCTGATTATTTGTATATTTATAAAATATAAAATATTAAAATTTATGTATTTATATTATATTTTATACGAAAATTATATATTAAAAATTTATGTTGATATAAAAATATAAAATATATTTTTTAATTTTATTAAATTTATATATAATTATTATTAAAATTTTAAATTATATATATATTTTTGTATTATATTTATATTGTGTTAGAATAGCCATGTAAACAGACCCTTTGAAAAAGCAGGTCAATGGGTTATCAATGGTTTGTGGACTTTAGAGACAATCCAGGATCAGGAATTGCCCCTTGGTGCTTTGAGGGCCCGTATCTTTTACACTACTTGCTTTGCTTTTTAATTCTAAGATAACATTGATGGATTATAGTAAACCAAAGGTTAGGCAGTTCTTGATCCGATATTAGATTTGATAGTTTATATATTTATATTTATTTATTTTATATTAATGTTTAAAACATGAAAAATTAAATAATTTTGGGGTGTAAACGAATGAACTGCTCATAAATATATTCGATTTCTGTTTATTTATATTCGTTTATTAAGTTTAACAAATGACTTTGAATAATATTTTTATATTCGTTTATTAAACAAATTGAATATGAATAAAAGTCTATTTGATTCATTTGCATTCATGAATAAACTTATTTAAAGTTTGTTTAAAAGTCATTCATGTATTGTTCATTTGTTATTCATTTACTGTTTGTTTATAATAATATTAATAAAATCATATTTTTATCCTTTACCTTAATCCTATTTTAAGTTTATTTATGTTTGTTTAAAATTTATTTAGTTAAATTTATTTGGTTATAATTTATTTATTATTTATGAATATATTTATTTATATATGTTAATAAACGTGTTCGTTTAATGTTCACGAACGAATTTATTTAACTTATTAAATGAATACAAATTAAACGCAAATAATCTATTATTTAAATGAATATACATAAACTAACAGAACAATTTTCTTAACAAACACAAATAGAATACGAAACTTTAAAATTAAATAAACAAACAAAAAACATATGTTCATTCGTTCAGTTCGTTTGTAACCCTAAATAATTTTAATTTTAAATTCAATACTTAAGATAAAATATTTCGAATTCAGTTATCCAAACGATTGTAAACAGGTGTCAAACCAAAAGACTCAAATCTGAAATAATCCAAACCCTAAAAGACTCGAACTCTCCAGGCGAGACAGATAAAGCAATTCACTTGAACAGTAAAACTGCATTCAGCCAATAGAGTACTACAGTAATTACATATGCTTGAACGCTAGTTCCAGAGCATCCTACTATAAGTCTTCAATGATGCAATTACCAATAAAGCCGCATACAAGCCAGTTTTAACAAAGAAAGAGAACACAAACATTTCCATTAGTCACTAGATCCCAGTAAAATGGACAAAATCCTGCTTATTTTTCAGTTCTTTAAAGGACAAAATCAATTACAAATTTGGTAGTGATGGGAAGGTCACAGGGGTGTGGTATCAACCATGGCTTCCAGGATCTTCCTCTCCAAATCATTTTCTTCAATCCACATGGAACTTTGTCTATGCAGTAGCTCATTCACCTCTTTCTTTTTATCCTCGTGTTTCTTTTGTTTCATTCTCCAATTTTCAAGCTTTTCTGCTCTTTCTTTCAACTGAATTCATAGAAATAGAATCTTGAGCATAAGATAGAGAGATTAAAAATGCAGTATTAAGCAACTTATTTTCAAAAAAATGTTTTTGGCAAATACTTATTTTCAGATTAAAAACAAAAAATAAGGCCATAAATATAAGGTCTGACAAAGTTCAGGTATACATATTAGATATAAGTGAGCTGATAGCAGACGATGTGTCCTTAACATGTAATTGAATTTCACTTCCATGCATCTAAATGGTAAGGTATTGTTCTGCAATCAAGCAACCAATTACATAAGTCATGAAAAGAACTTCAGCATGACAAGGTTGAGATTGAAAAATGCTTCAAAAAGCCAGTTCCTACCCATCTCCACGCACAATTAACCATATGCCAATTATTAATAAGCCCTAAACAAGGATTGCATTTTGAAAAGATTTTTGCTATTTGTACCAGATGTTTACAATTCTCCTCTCTATCTGTTTCCTTTTTGCCAGCAAGTTTCTTTAAGCTGAAATGTCATCTTTCGTCAAATAAATTAAGTAAATCCTTCTTATCACATTACCGCATTCAGTTGGCTACAGATTATATAAACAAAAAAATCCGGAAAGGGGCTGGATCTATGATCTAATTCTACATTGACAGAGAAAATCTTCAGACAGCAATTGGAATTTATTATTATTATTTTTGATTTAGAGGTAAGGGGCTCCTGAGCTTTGTCCAGTACAACCCCTTCCCGGGCCTATCCAAGCAAGCTTATCTACGCCGAGCCTAGCAAATTCGTGGGGAATCTACTATTTGAAACTACTTGTTGACTAGCATAAATCTACAAGTGCAGCTTTAAGAATTCTATTATAACTTGAAAGGTTGAATTTGGTAGTATTATTTTTAGATCTCAATGGCTAGAGTGTTCTAAGGCTGGCTAATCCCACCGCAACTCATGGTCTTTTGGTTATATGTTAACACCCTTCCATTGAATACAAATTGCAATAGCAGTAAGCAAAAGCAATGTCCTCAAAGGCTCAAACGTCTAGTGTTTACCATTAGAGTCAGCATAGTTTTTTCACCTAGCCATGGCATACCAAGAATCAACCATATCTACCATGGTATTCAAGGGAAAAAAGCATTACATGCATAAACCCCAATTCCATTTCTTTTCTCTATTGTCACAACATTCAAAGTGTAAGAAAAATATGCTTAGCATCACTCAACTTTTTTATTTTTTTATGGAATCTCTTACTCAACTTAAAAATGAACTAACAAATAAGGGGAAGAATAAGTTTTAATTTCCCAAATAAATATACAATCTATTATCTACAAGCTGCCATTATACCTAACAATCCGTGTATTCATATTTATTTATTTAATATCTAATACGTGTAAAAAAAATTATCACGTCACTATTTGTGTATATATGCTAAATATACAACACATTTTTTATGGTTTTTTTCTAAAATTATAAACCATTTCGATTTACCCTTTCTTATTTTGTTATTAAAATTCATCATAAAATTCAGATAAAAGAAGTATTGGGTGGTAAAAGAGTACCAGGATCTGTCGAAACTCTTGTTCAGCAACCATACGCTCTTGGGCTCTAACTTTAGCAGCCTCAGCCTTAAGCCTTTGCCGCTCCTCATTAGCAACTCTAATAGCCTCTTTCCTAGCCTCTTCTTTCCTCAGCTTCTCAAGACGCAACAACTCCATCTCGTGGATGTATTCCTTGCGGACATGTTTGACTTGCTTGGCATAGTCTCGTCGCAACTGGGCGAGTTTCTTCTCGGCTTCTTTGGGGTCGTTGGGGCTCTTCCAGCTGCCTAAGAAGGAGTTGGGATCCAAAAATTTGTGGGTTTGTTGGTGGTTGTTATGGTTTGATGACTTCGTGGAGAAGTAGCGGAGGAGGGTTTTGGAGAGGGTTTTGAAAGAGGAAGTACCAGAGGCTGCCATGGATGCCTTTTGGGACGCTGATTGAGAGAGGGGATGAGGGTTTTGTTTGGGTTTGGATTTGGATTAAAGGGCTGGGCCTATATTTTTGGAAATTTTTTATTTTGTTTAACACAAACTCTCTTACTCAAAATGGAGTAATTTTTTAATCATGTTTTTCAAATCAAAGCATTTTAATTTTTAAGCCACACCATTGCCAAATTATAATTTTAGTAGACTGACAATTTATGTATAGCTATCGTTTGTTTTATTTTTAAGTAAAAAAAATTATCGTGTTATCATTTGCCTATTAAATATAATATAATTTTTAATTTTTATCTAACACATAAATTTTGTTAAAATATTAAATTTTATTATTTTCATATAATTATGTCTCTTGTCATGATTTGACTGTATTTTATGTAAATCTTCGTCTTATCATAATCCATCTTTTATTTGAACTTGAGATCGATAATGTGATAACATAGGTTTATTTGTGCATTAATTACAAGAAATGAAATTTTAGATTAAGGTGAAATTAATATATTTAAAAATAAATCATAAAATATATAGATATAAATAATAAAAAATAATAAAAAAATTATTTTTAATAAAAATGAATGACGTAAAAAAATTTAAAATTATGATTTAATATGATTATGTTTTTGATTTTATATAATCGATCCATAATTATGAAATATAAAACTTAATTTATTATTATTTGTCATTTTCGTATTTTTTTCATATATCATTAAAATTACTCAAAAAAAAAAAAAAGTCAGCCGCTAAGACTACCGTCACACCATTTTGACAAAAAAATAAACTTAATTTTGTGAAAAAGAAAAGGTACTTGAGAGGTCTCAGAAGAGAGAACCAGAACACTTGGTTTCAGACAGCTGAACAGATTTGGAGACAGTTTCTGACCAACCAATTCCAAAGGAACCTGCAAAAATATATGCACCCAAAATCTTCATCTTTTGTTGGCTTCAAAATCATGGAAGACAGCAGATTCAGGAGCACAAATAGTTTAACTAAAATCTCAATAAAAAGCTTTTTAATGTAAAAATTAATCATGTTTCTTTATGTCAAAGCATTCAACAACGAATACGACTATATACATCTTACAGGAAACTATAAATTCTTGAATGTGGATAATGTATACATTCTATGTCCTATGGTACAACATTTTGAAGTACATTAATGCCTTAAATTATCATCTTGAATTCTGGCAACGTTGTCATTAAATCCCATTCAGGAGCTTCTCAGAAATGTGGATTTAGTCTTCCAGGGGATACCATGTTCTCTTGAAAAATCATACCAGACACCAGAAAAAATGTACCTTAAAATGTATTAGCATACAACTCAGCTGTGTCAGATTATTTCATAGCAGGGGCCTTGAGCTTGCATGCAGTCTGCTCGGGCCCAAATATGAGACATAACTTTGGTGATTCCAGCATTCAAGCAACAGATTCTTTCGCATCAAAAGTAGCCAAGGGACATTCCAGCAGGTAATTCCAAAGATCAATTTGTTAATTTAATCCAGAAAATCACATATAAAACATGGCACCAGTTAGGACACGATTACTGAATCCTTCTGCTGCCTTGGCATCAAAATGACCAATTGCAGCTTGCCATGCTGGCAAAGTTTAATAGGATTTGTGTATACCGAGACCTTGGCCTCCTTATCACTTAATAAAAGGACATGAGCAATGCTGAAAGACTCACCTTTTTCAGCAGCAAATTGCCACTCTCTTGTTGATATATTGAACCAGTCTTTCCTTGCAGATTTGGTGGCTTTAACTTCAATGTATTCAATATGACCTTCATCATTTACCACTAAATCATAGGGTAACCCAGTTTCATTATCCTTATTGACCCACGTGACTGTCTTACCCAAGGTGCCAGTAAAGTATTTGAAAGCAGCGAGCTCACCCAGTTTCCCAGTTAGCAAAGCTTGTGCTGCACTGGGTGTGCCAGTATGAAGCTGATCTCTCCGGCTAAATTCAGATGAAACAAATCCGGTATTAAGCTGATTTCTCTCTCTAAATTCAAATGAAACCAGCTGACGGTTATCCGACACTAGACTTAAATCAACGGGATCAAATGCGATTCTCACAACGGACTCAGCTGGATTGCAAGTGTTGCCATGATGGCGATCCATACTTCCAGAGTCAGGCAAAATTAGAACTGTTGAGGTTGTTGCAATATTTTCTCCCATGGACATATTGGTGTCCATCTCAACTGGAACATCACTGCAGGTATGTGAATCAATGTGCTCAGAACCATTATCCGTGTGCTTTTCTGAGCCATCATTAGGTTGTGAGATAGGTGCATGTCTCTTACTGAGACCAGGTGCCGTTTTCCAATCCACAGGTGGCCAGTTTGAGTAGATCCCTGTTTTTTTCTTGGATTTTGAAGTGGATTGCTCATTTTCTGCTGTTGTGGCAGAATTGGTCCCAAGAGATTCATTATTCTCCAACTCGTAAGGTGCAGAAGAAAGGGACCAAACAGGTTCTTCATCAGGAAGTTTTGGCACCTTTTGGCTGTTCAAGATAAAAAACTCTGTCTGTTCTTCATTAGAACCAGATTTTGCCATAGTTGTGACCATGTGAAGGAAATTTGCCAAGTGCAAATCAGGAGTTCCATCAAAAAACAAACGAGAAAACTCCATATATAAGGCATGAGAATCTGATTCAGGAGTGGCGTACAAAATATTATCCTGTAAAAAAAAAAAAGTTTTAATATTTACTATATAAATGGAGATAATACCTATATCCCCATGTAATCAGAAATCCCAATATAGCCTGACTACTGAAATTTACTCATTTATTTTATAAACATTATGGAACTAAAAGATGTTAATGAATGGACAAATTAGATATTTCCCATAAGAAAACTAGAGTGTAGACATAACTACTCATTGCTTATGCTACAGATAAGCAATTTTATAACTGAAGAGAGGGAGATACCATGTTGTGCCGTGCATTTGCATTATGCATGTTAACACATGACATGTAGCAAGCCCAGATGAGCAAAATAAAATAATACCTTTAGACTTTAGCATTACAGTTAGCGTCAATGCTACTTCCATGTGCAGTGCCAAATTTCAAGTTCTTATACATTTAAAAAAGAAGATAATTTATCCCATAAAAAGGTTTAAGAATAAAACAATAAAAACAGCATGGAGGGTGCTGCTATCCTACACACAAATTTCGTTATCAGTTATGCAAGGAATTTGATTTCGGTAGGCTCTATAGATCACATAAACAAAAAATCCACTCCATACCTGTAGAAGACAGCTGCATTCAAACTGCTTATTGGAAACAATGCCACAGCTCTTTATAACATTCCTGTAGTACAGCTTATCAACGACAACAATTTGTAAATGATTTATATTCTCAAATCCAGATTGCTTGTGTTGAAAATAACTATCGGGATGAACACTATATAAGTAGCGTTGTGCAAAAGGAAGAGCCCAGTTCATGAGGGAAGCTTTGAATCTACAATCTGCTCGCCCATCACAAATTGCTTCACGAGTAACAACCTATGTAAAAGCAAACACATGAGGGGTGGACAAAGGCAGTATACATACCGAAGGTCAATTTTCAGCATGGATACAAAGGTAACTGCCCTTGAAGTGATATTACTACTGACTTCTGACTTTCCAGTAATAACCTGCTCTAACTCCTTATTTTCCAATTAATGATGTTTTTAAGTAACTAGATGTGTCTCTGGCCATATTTGGGTTTACTGATATTAATTTAGCATCTAAAGGTTCATAAGTAACCACGAATAATCCTCTGTATTAATAAGAATACATTGGAGAAAAAAGAAAGGGCATAGACAAATAAACAAAAACCATAGTAGATCACAACAAAACTGCATTAGTTGAAGAAAATCATAACTTTTGAACTTTAAAAAACTTAAGAAAGGAGTATGCCAACTATGCAAATGCCAGCATGTACTACAAATTGAATGAAGTTCATCATTATCAGCATGAATGAAATGTTGATCTATGGTGAAGCTTCCATTGGTTCAATCAGACACATCAACAAACTTATAAAAAGGTGTATCCAAAAGGGAAAAAAAATTCTAATAATATTTAGAATGAAATCACAAGAATTCCAAATATACCAAGAAAAAATTTCAGATGAATTGTTTTTAAAAACAAAAGGTGAAACAGACAAAATGCTAAAGCCATATGATTGAGTTTCTGGATGCTTAAATGGTAAAAATTTCAACATCCTAACTACTTGCTTCTTACCTCAGAAAGAACAGGAATCCCAAAGGTACGCATTAGAACAGACACTTTAGTCTGAAGTAACTCTTTCTCATTATCATTGAGAGTGCCAAAGTACAGAAAATCAATATTATCCAGGTGCTTAAACCTCTTCCTTAATTTCTCATCATCACACCAGCACACTAAACCAAAAGAAGGGTGCAAGGAAACCCACTTATCTAGTACAGTAGGCAGCAAAGTATACTCTGATTTATTAAGACATTCTTTCATGCGACTGATATCTTCAGTACTCAGTAATCCAGACTTCAGTTCATCAGCCCACTTCAGAAAGACTTGGAAAACCTAACCATGAAAGAAATATATTAGATTATAGCATGGCTCCAGTGAGGGACAAGATAAACTCTGTTAAGTTTGGTCACTTACAGCATTAGCAGCTTGTGAAGGTAAAGTAAGTGCTGATAACTGTAGCAAAATATCCAGGTAACCACAGAAAGAAGGTTTCTCAGGCACTTGGCATTCATTAACAAAAAAGTCATGGAGACCTGGATAAACATTGGACAATGTTCTCTTTAAGGGGCGCTGGTTCTCAACAAATACACCAGACTGAGAATGATTATACATTTGGTCCATGGTTCCAGTTGAATCATGCCAATTCACTTCTTTAGAAGACAAGAATATGCCAGATACCAAATCGTCAGGCTTCGAAGCTAACTTGTATGGAACAAATATAGAGGATGCTGAATGGAATTCCACAGAAATTTTCTGACTTGAATTATGCACTTCATTCCAAATAAATGTGTATAGTCTGGACATTTGTGCTATGCTGGCATGCAAATAAGTGAATTGAATTCAAATGAGAATTGGTAAATGGAAAATCAAACAGTTGGAGACATAGAACAAAATAAAAAAAGTAAAATGCAAATACAATAAATGTTCACAGCCCTACATTAATAGCATGAGAAAAGTGATTTATGTTACTATAAAGAAAATTCTTTACAATTGTGAATCATATCACAACAGTCAGCAACAAATTTCTGAAACAGGGAAAAACTAATTGTGCAACCGAAAGAGAAAACAAAAAGAAATCAGTTTCTTTCCCTGAAAGAAACAAACATTTACACAAAAACAAAAATATTTCCTAAACAAGAAAAAATTTGCAAATGAAAACTTATAATCCTTTCCCAAGGTTACCTAAACAAAATTTAAAGACAGCTGTATCCGTGAAGGTTTTCCTCTCACTTTTCAGCTTTACAAGACTTGTAAAAATCAGGGATTATCATTTTGAGAAAATTAGTGAATCAATTAAAAGAAACTAATGGATATCTTCTGATTATGCTAGAATTAAAAGAAGAAAAACTATATTCCCAGCAATTAGTAGCATCATAACTTACAGCTCTGTAATGCCACCAATTGGTTAGATGTTCAGGGATCAGTGAAACATCATCCACCATCCAACCATAAACATATAAATTTATAAATCTAGAAAATTCCACGACACTTTAGATGTCTTGGAAGTAGCCAAACTTCTTTCATCAAACAATATGCATCCATGACAAAGACTCAAACCTAGCAGAATGGCAGTAATACCTGGCCTTGAAAGAGCTCTCAGATCTCCATAATTTTAGAACCTTGAGAACATCATCAAGGGTAACTTCAGTTTTAAAACCAATATCCTTTACTAACTTTCCACTTCTCACCTAAAAAGAAGCACAGAACATTAAACTCAAAGTTAGCAAAATTATTATGTTGAAGGGAAGAAGTAAAGTTTCAAACTGTTAAAACTCTAAAAATTAATTTGAATAATTTTAAAATTTAGGTCATCTGTTTGCATTATGAAGAGACCAAAATTTACTTACTATGCCGTAGAAAGCAAAACAAACAAGGACATTGAGTTGCCTCTTTGTTTTCTTGGCTCATTCTATGAAAATTTTCACATTAAATATCAATTCAAGAAAAAGGTGGATATCATGCTTTGAACTGCCTGCTTAAAAATTCTAACTTTTTTTCCACATTACACTCACAACCTCCATAACTCTCAGAGAAAGATTCAATGAGAAGAAACAATTTCATGACATCATCAAATTATAATATCAGTATCAAACAAACCTTTGGAACAGCATATGGAGCAAATGCACCTAGGATTGAACGCACTGGATCACAGTCATGGAACAACTCTTCTGGATAGTAAAGCTTATCATCCATGCTAGAAACCACCCACTGGATATCACAGATCTTGCACAAAAATGAGGATCTGAAGGGTCTAACACCACCACCACATTTAGAATTGCAGCAACCGGAAGCTTTTTCACTAAAACAATCATCCCAAAGTTCATCAAGAACCTCCAACAAGTACTTACAGCCTTCATGATTGCCACTTGTGGACAATATGGATAACAACTGAACTAACTCATAAGATTCCCAATCCTTAAAAACTGATCCAGGAGAAATTAAGTCCCAATCTGACAAATTCTGAAGAACAGTATGAGATATATCAGCAAAGCTTTTATCAAGTTGTACCACTTGCACAAAATCTGTGACACCAATTTCCAGGAAAAATTCCCTCCACTTCTTAAGTCCAGATGAGAGCAATCTGGAAGCAGGATGCTTCAAATATGTGATATCAACCTCATGCCATTTCAGATCCATATCATTAATCAATCTATTTATATTGACAGGGCTATCGAATTCTTTGCTAAAATGAACTGCTACTTCAAATGGTCTTTTAAAGCCATAATTTGTTAATATAAAAGCTTTATTTCGCAACTCTGAGATAATGTAATCCCTCTCAACACGACAACTTGGACAGCTAGATTGTAAGTGAATCATCACAAAGCAGAGGTAATCTATCATCAAATTCTTGTCTCTAATTTTGATTTTTTCATCAGATAGATCTGGCAAAATATGTACCCTTATGATTTCATGCGCAGAGAGCTGTTGAACACCAATATTATGAAGCACACTAGTAATGTTTCCGACTAGAGTTGTATCTACGTGTGAGATACTGACAGCAGATGCAGAAAAAAGGGCAGGACTGACAAACCGAAGTTTAGCATATAATGTAGGAAAAGCTTCAAGTCCAAGCTCCCCTTCAAACCCAATGTTAATGGCATCAGAATATAACCAAATTGTACCTTTGCAAACAGAGCTGAAGGTACCATCAGAAAGAGGAATAAATGGAATTTTTCTAAGATTATCTATGAGAACTGTTTCTATTTCACAATTCATTGAGGCCTGTCCAGAAGAATGGAATGAGATTGTATAAAACTCATTCAACCAAGACGATATCCAAGCTAGGCCCATCGGTTTAAGGCCATTTTCTCTTTGACACAAAGAGGATATAATTTGGACTAGAACTTTGGGACCATAGTCCTGTATACCTAATGCCCTTGCCAATGCATCAGAGAAAATTATATCCTTGTCCAAATAACCAAGTCCAAGGTGCTCACGGAGCAAGGGATCAGGAAAAAGCTGACAAGCTGATTCAGTCCAGCCTCTTAGAACTTTGCAGGGTGGTACCCACTGATTTTTGTCTCCTTCCAAAATTAAGCAGTTTGACATTCTTAACTTAGAAATGATCATTCGAGGAAGGCTAGAAAAAAATCCATGCACTTCCCCAACAAGTGGAACAAAGCTCATGTAAACTGTAACAGCTTTTCCAGGATTTTCCTGGAAACAAGGGAGAGAACAAAATGATCTCTCTGCAGAAACAAACAAACTGGGATACTCTGACAATAACCACTGGTTCCAGGGGCTATCTACATCAACTTCCTCTCTAGATGAAGGAAGAACAAAATCACCTTGAAGAATAAATTTCAGACCATATGTCCTCAAAGGAAGAAAAGCAAAAACAGGTTGTTGGTCCAGAAATGGTATGTAACAGCCACTATCAGACTCCTGCAGTGTAAATGCTATAGAAATTTCTGTTATTTGCACATCACGATGAATAATATCTGCCTGCAATTTCTGGGATGCTACAAACCATGTCATGTTATCTGTCCCACATGAAACCTTTACAATACCATTTCCCACAATTTCTTTTCTCATAACAACAAATGAATTATTGAGCATGTTCCGTAACACGATGCACTGAAGCCTGTGGAGAAAGAGTAGTAGGGAAGGATGAAGATCTGCAAACATGGAGACAATATTGTTCATATCATTTCCTTTAGATGTAACTGATCGGAAAGGAAGTATAATGCAAGTGTTCCAACACTTATTATCCAGCTGATTAGTATCTCCACTCAACAACATTTTAAAAGAGTCGACATTACAAGGAGGTAGTAGAGTTGGCAAAACAAAACCTATCTGACCATCACTTATATCAAACTTGACATGAAACCCATTCGAATGAATCTCAGGAGCATCTGTAACCTGCAAAATCACCCAAATAAAAAAAAATTAAAAAAAAACCTCATTGAAGCCATTCATTAATACAATCACCATGTAAGTACCTTTCAATTGAGATTCTTGTATCAAACAGTGCAAGAAAGGGTTTCAAGCGAGTAGTAGATTGGCATAGTAAACACAATGATTTAATGGAAGAAGAAAATGCAATTCAAATCTAATAACCCTATTAAAAACGCAAGAAAATGTCTGGCTTGAGCAGATAAACTGGTAAACTTAAACCGCACATAAGGAAAAAGGGTGTCTTCACATCCATTGAGGACAATGCAAAAACCATAGTTCAAGTAGTTTGGACGTATAAAGAGAAGACTTACTAATTCCCCCTGAGAAAATGTAACTGAATGGAGGATAGTCATATCAAATGAAGGAGAGAAACACCAAATAAGAAATGAATGGAAACTATTAAAGAAGACCTCAATTTGAGTAAGCTTCCTACATATATGGTGTGGCATGATGCGCAGTGATGCAGATTGATCCATATAATCAAATAGGTTTAGTCTGTTGTTGTATTTGGAAACCATTTTTAGGCTACTCAAATTATCGGGTAAGTGTCAACGGTGGATAGAATTAACATAAGGGGACGAATAATCAACAAAGCAGGTATCGGTTAATATAGAACAGAGCAAAAGAGGAATAGTAACTAATAAGTTTGATACATTAGACAAGGGCTAATGGAGTGCAAATTTCTTCCTATCGATACAATTATTATACTACCAAAATAAAGTCCTTTTTTTTTATTTCCTCTTGAGGACTTTTATGCATTCTCATAGGAATAGCAATGTTGGCAAAATACCAAAAACTTCACACCGAACCTTCTGGCTTCAAAGAAAAGACACTAAGCAAATCACAATTTTGCTTGACCATGCCACCAGAAAGTTCAAGTCCAAAATAAAACTATTACTCACAGGAAATTAACACCTTTACTAACAAATGGCAACTATAACTTCATGTAATGTATTATCTATCAAACGAAACAACACCTAACATCTACCATTAAGAAAGTTAAACAATAAAGGGCTCCTTTGGAAGTGCTGTGGCAACAATTCCCAACCGTGCTTCCAAATGCAGTGTCAGCAAATAATTTATCAGCACAACAAATGGTATATTCAACCTTACTGCAGGAAGAAAATCATTATGTCCATAACCATCTACTTCCAATCTAGTGGCCATTTTTAGATTTTGAAGAATGAAGTAACTGAAATTATGGCCATAAAGAAAATTACATTCTACTTTTGGATATGAAAGACAAAAATGGACAAGATTAATTCTGAAAGAAGCATAAAGTTTTGCTGTTTAAAGAAGCTAGGTGCTAAACATTGATTTTAACAAAAGCATAGGAACCACAATATTAGTCATGTTTAACACCTATTGCTATCTATCCTCTTCACCCTACTGTTGCTCAATGGACCATTTAACTCTTATTCATACACCTTTAGATGTCTTTTACTCTAGATACGGAAGCAAGGTAACATATTACTTGAACAGGATATATCAAAGAACAAAAGATAACATAAAATAAAAAACGGAAAAATAAGTTTTTGTACCCGAAACACAGATTTGAAGCCAATGCCCTTCTTCCCTATGTAACCAGAATATCCTTTTTTTGTCGAGCTTCCAACATCACAAAGTGCTCTGATATTCTGAGCAGAAAAGCCTTGTTCATTATTTAAAACAATTATACCCGACTCTTGAAGAAGAAAAGTTAGAGTTGGTTCCACATTGTCAGAATAGACATTATCATCAGCATTCTGAACCTGAATCAACACGAAGTTAGTTAGAGCAGTTAAACACTTCACCATTTAGTGGCAGCAGTTCAGCAAAATTTAATACTCCCTCTATCTCATAATAAGAGTCACAATAAAAAGTCAAATTATCTAACTTCCAGCAACACCCTTCAATAATTTTTACCAACTTGGGGCAAAGAAAACCAAAAAACTACCCTAGTTAGGATAGAAAAAGTGTCAACTATAATTAGTATGTGTTATAATGCTTCCTAAACTTTTTCAAAGAGAACAGTTATAGTAGGATGGAGTTCCAAAATCAAGCATACAAACATTGCATTTACTAATATACTAAACATCACATGGCATACAAAAAATTACCAAGCACCTTTTAAAAAAAAAAAAAGAAAAAGAAAGGATAAAGAACCAAGCAAATTTTGCAAGTTCAACAACCTTAAGTATTGAAAAACATTCACAAAAATATGATGATGCTCCAGTGGGCCAACAGTAACAGTAAGGAAGATTACAGGAGGAATGTGCACAAGTTAATCAACCAAGGGAAAAAGAAAAACTGCCTTTCCATCTAAAAAACACAAAAAACAACTTCCTTGGTTGGCCTCATGGAACTTATCAACAAAGACCTTCAGGAAAACAGATACGTCAGATGAAATATCTGAACATAAATTTGTCTTCTAAGCAACTATGGAGAAGAATTGTTCTTTCGTTGTAATTTAGAAATTAAGTTTCACAACCAACTGCGAGCCAAAAACTTAATCCATTTAAGCAATATTTGTGCAGTCCTACCAAGCACAATTAAAAACAAAAATTAGACTTACAAGCTCTAGAAGAAAATGCGAGTCCTGAGAGTATAACTCCTGAGAAAGACAATGGAGTGCTCTCCCCAAGCGAGCATGTTGCTTTTTCAACATGCTACTCTCCACATCTGAAAGATTTGGATCCAGACCAAACTCATCTCGCCTGATTGACTCAATAACCAAGGATGCATCTGCCAGTTCATCAACTTCAGATGGTTGTTCTCTGTTCTTGATGCCCAATCTCTCAGCAGAAATTTCTTCATCACTAATCATGTCACAAACTTTGGGTTGCTTGTCTGTCCTATCAGATGCCATTATTTCTTTCTCAGCATAGGAAAGCCTATCTATTGCATTTTGCATATAGTTTGACCTTGTTTTTATCTCAGATGTACCAGTTTTCATCCCTGATCCCTCATAGGAAAGAAACATGTCATTCATATCAATGGAACAAAATAAGTGGTAATCCTGTATCCACTCCACAATGCCAAGTGAAAAGCCCATTTCATGTAGCATAACACGCTGTCTCAGTTCATTGCATTCACTCAAAATAGCTGAAGGGCAATCTTTAATCACTGGACGCATCCCATGAAGTAATATGTCAGCTGCACAACTACGAAATTCTGAAGGTAGATAACATAGACAATCAAGGAAAAATCTCGAAGCATGAGATGCAGCTTTCTTCATTTTGATCAAGTTCATTTGTAATCCACTACCCAAATTGTCAATAGAAACATCTTCCAGCAATTTTGGCCCAAATAATGCTTTTCTATTCATGATAAAATTCTGATCATCAGCTACTTCAATGTTCTCAATATGGTTCTTTGAAAGGACTTCAAAAGCCATGTGTGCATGGCGCTTTAGAAGGGCTAAAGGAAGGTGCTTCATTCCCCCAGTTAGAGAACACAAAGACAGCAGCTTCAAAGCTGTTTCAAAGGCAGATCCCTTAAGAGCAGCTTCCAAAAATGAATCCATAGTGGCTGAATGATCAATCCGAATAACTTTACCATCCTTAGTCACCAAGCACAACAACTCTTTTGCACTAACTTCATTCAACAACCACAATGTAAGGGAACCAAGAGAAGGAGAAAATAAAACATCCCAGTGTGACCATGAATTTAAATCTGACAACATTGGGGCCCTAAGCAAAACAGCCATTGCATCCTTTGAAGCAACTGATTTAACCATACTAACATTTTCTGATGAAAAGTTCTCATCATAGACCGATGAATCACCATTATGGCACATTCCCAGCAATGATGCTGAAAATATGACACATTTGGAACTTATATCATTCTTAGACTTCTCCACGACTTCTAGAAAATCTTCCATAGAACCATTTTCCTTAACTTTGAAATTAAATAAAGGAAATTGCTTCATGAGCAGTGCATTAATAACCTCCTTGGTAATAATTTGATTGTCCTGTAAATTGTATGAAGCTTGAGATATGAAAACAATCAACAGATGCTGGAGAATGCAAACCTCCAAAGGAGACTTTTCGCATATTTCAGCAGCCAAGAGTTTCTGCAATTCAATAGGTAATAAAGAAGCATGTCTTTCTAGAAACATTAAGAACTCCCCATGACCAAGGGACTTGAAGTCCTTAACATAAAATTGCCCAGCCAACCAAGACTCACAGTTAAACAGCTTCCTCAGCAAAATTAACCTTTGCTCTTTAAGTGATTTACCACCATGAATTTCATGATTAAGCTCAAAATAAGCAATAATTTTCTTGATAACATCTTCCTTTGTCACACCTGTGAATAGAGTAAACTAAGTCAGTTACATCAAATTAAGCGACTGATATATTTCTAAAGAGAAGGACCAAAAAACTGAGGAATAATAAATGCAACAAACTATTTTTGTATAAAAACAAGTGGTTGTAAAAATTATAACACATTTGACTACCATATGATGCTTGCATCATAATGGTACAACTCATACACACACAAACTAAACCTTGGCCGGTCAAATGAAAGTTATGCAGAGGGAGAAACCTTGCAATTTTTGGGGATTGATCATCTGGTTATTTCATTCTCTCTTAATAAGCCACATCAATAATTTGGTATTTACTCTACAAATTACCCACAAAAAAATGGCACAAAGCTTTAATCCTCACCGAGTTCCATGTCTCCAAAATTTCCTTTTATTTATGTAACAAACCAACCAATCAACCCAGAATCAACCATGCTACCCTAACAAATTAAATACAGGTGACCACAAAATCTCAAGCTATAAACAATGATTCACTGAAGCTGGTTACAGCATTCTTACAGAAGCAAAACTGACAATTAGAAGAAGAAAAGGGAATCCACAATGCTACTGAAGAGTTTCCCAACCCACAGGCACCAAGATCAAAACCAGGCTCTGATGCCAACTGTCACACTTGACGTGGCCACCACCCAATTATTTATCAGCAGTCTACCCTGCCTACTCTGTTGAGCACTCAGCATAATCACTTACCCTGCCTACTACTCTCTGAGTGCTTGGCATAACAAGATACCCATCCAACTTGGTCGGGTGCTTGGCATAAAGAGCACTTGGAATAGAATAAAGTTATGTGGGCAATAGAGGGTACCTATCAAAGCACTCCCACACTAAGAAGCCCTGGGGGAAGAGCCATGCTTTGCCACTGTTAACATACCAGAGTTCCCAGGGATCAGGGTCATTCCTTTGCTCTGATAACACTTGATGTAGAACAAATACTCCAGAATAACAATATTCAATAATTCTTAATATCAAAGTTGTTCAACAATCAAAATCTAACCTCCAAACATAATAAAACCTATAAATAAGCTTCTTTATCCTGGTATTAAGCCCATGGGAAAATAAGCCCACCTAACCCAAATAAAGAGTAATACAAATAAACCAAACAAACAGGTCCACTAGAAAATTAAATCCTACTCCCTAAATTTACGTCTAGAATAGAAATTCTTTGAAAACAAGCCTGTTCTCATCAGCTACTATCTAAACAAGGAAAGAGATGATATAATGAACTCTAATAAACATCAAACTAGAAGAAAACATCTGAAGGCATAGATTTACTAATCCTAATTTGAGTATGATTCCCAAAACTTATCTTTTAGAATAAGATCCAACCCAAAAAAAAAAAAAAAATCAAAAAGAGCCAATAATTACATATACAATCCAATCATCAATTAAGCCCATTTCTAGAAAATGAAAATCATTAAATACTGCTACCAAAAAAAAAAAAGTTATAAATAATGATAATGACTCAAGAATCACCAAGGAACTCATCCACCCAGCCCAATCCACAGACAAACACAAACAAAAAGGACCACTTTTCAGAAGAAATCATGGAGAAAAAAATTCTTGAACTATTTAATCATATTTCATAAAGAAGGAAGAAATTAAAACCGTGAAAGCATACTAGAATTTTTTCACAATAGCATCAGTAGAGCAAAGACTACTTACAATGTACGTGTGTGGGGATCGATGCATCCTTCTCACTTGGTTCAACTTCAATGCTCTCATGTTCAGAATAATTATCAGATGTGTTAGTTAATTCAAATTGTCTGACAGCTTGAATAGTATCATAGATGCTATCCCACATTCCTTTTCTGATAGATGTCACCTGTAATAGTGAAACAAAAGTTCTATCATAATTCTAGGTCTCAAAATGACTTGAAGATAAGTATACCTAACAGTAGGAATCCACAAATAGACTTGAAAAGCCAGTGCTGTCTTTGGAACACTGAAGGTGCTAGGACAGTTGTATCTCCTAAGAAGCAAGGCAAAAAGAAGGGACTCACCCAAGGTAGCAGTTGGTATGGGGTGATCTTTCTAAAATTGATAGTGATCTAGTCACTGTGATTAGATTATTGTGCTTAATAGTAACTTGGTAATCCTACATGGCAGTGATCTTAGATCACTGAGATTAGATCATTGCCATGCGGGATTTGAATCCCATCAAAATGGTGGGAAAGTTTTCACCAAGGGAGAGTGATCTTCAAAAATCATTTTAGGACAAATTTACCCTCGAAGTGATGCCTGCCAAGATATATTTCTCTCCTAAATTTTAGCTTTTATAAGCAAATCTCCACTTTTTAATCACTTTGTACAAGACAACTTATGTGACCCTTATATGTGAACATGTCGATAACTTTGAATTATAGTGATCAGAACTGGTTCATATCAATAAAAATTGAAATTGTTGCCTTTTTTAAATAACCTAATTATAATAAGGTTATTTTGGGTGTTTTATATTTGGAGGTCTTTTTTCTATACAATACCAAATTACAGTGATTTAAGATCACCAGTGATTTATAATATTGCACCAAACATGGTAATCTAAGATGGTTAGTGATCAAATCACCTAGGTGATCTTACGACCTTGGTAATTAGATCACTACAGTGGTCTTAAAAGTGATAGCAAACACTACCAAAGTGAATATATCATAAATACAACCTGTATCAAAAGCAAGGAACCTAAGAAATTGGTTTATATAAGAAAAACCTAAAGTATATACGTTTTAGAAAACTGACACAGTTCTATTAACTAATATATCATAAAGCTAAATCATTATCATAATTAACTAAAAGTCCCCACCCAATTAAACTCTAGCTATGAGGTCCCTATCCTTCCACCTCCAACAAGAAGTTACATATGGACCAAGATTATCCTTTTCTTATTCTTGTAAGAAACACATATATTGACCTTGAAAATACAGCTCATTCAATTAAAGAAAAATGATGTCACTTAATTGAGGCACACTTTTATACCTTTTATGGTACAATCAAGACTATTACAGATCAATCCTAAGAGTTCTACCGAAACCCACTGCACCCTTACCACTTGAGCCTTCTTGTGCCTACTACATTTCAAGGTACACAACCTAGGCATTAAAGGTAAGTGTCTCAATAAAGGTGCCTCAACTGAAGGGGTTGAAGGAGCTTTTGCTTAGTTCTAATGCAACTTAGGACCTAGTTGAATGCCTCAACTGTACCAAAAAAAGAGATTTTGCCCAGGAAAAGGTAAAAACAGGAGTATGATTTATCATGTAATTGAAAGGAAACAATAGTATGCAATATGTGCATGCTCTTCAAGTTAACAAATGCAACAAAAAAAATAAAAATAAAAAGAATATAACTGTAAAGATGGGAGAATCTTTCACTAGATTCTGCAGCAATTTAGCAAACAACTTATCGTAACCAGTTCAGCTCAACAGACTTACAGCAACATTTAGTAACCCAATAAATGGATAAGAGGAAAGCATTGACTTCATTTTCTTCCTCTTTTGAGCTTTTGACTTGTAAAAGCAAAGCATTCTTTGCAGAACCTATGAATGAAAAAAGAAGTCCACAAAATCCATATCATATTACAGTGATTAAACCAAAAAGAAAAAACTCAATGTCCAGCCTCATGTGGGTAACATTCACAAAAAGACACAAGTACTCGTACTAATTGAAAATGTGGCTATCCTCAAACATGTACAGTGTAAAATCAAAAAGATATGAAACTAAAATTGGAATTCAGTGTAAGTGTCAGATCTAAGTCTATAACTCTTGCATTCTCTATGTTAATCAGAAATATGTGCAAGTGTTAATGTATGTACATATTGCTCTCTCTTTATATCTTCTACTTGTCTATGTTGATCAGAACTATGTGCAAGTGTCAATGTACGTATGTATCTATGTAACTCTCTACTACTATCTATGTGTGCATGTGACAGAAAGTAAAACAAATAAGAAGTAGACCAAGCTTGTCCCCCTCCCTCTCCTCTCCCTCTCACCATGTATGCACACATCAAATGCACGGCTAAGCTTTTCTACAAATCCTGTTTCAATTTAAAACTGTAACAATTACTCCCAATCAGTAAGTTTATACGAACAATTATATCATTTGAATATATTGTTGAAATCTTAATGTCCTGCATGCATAGAGGTGTTAGAGAGGAAGTAGTAAGGAAATACAAATATGAAGTAGACAGAGCTTAAATCTATAATGACACTAAAGTTTGCAATTTACCAGATAACTTTCAAGAAATATTTTCTGAATGTTTGCACAGCTCCCTCCCTTCCACATCCCCCACGCCCCTTCTCCAATTTGTGCTACTTCCACATCTAAGCTATTAGGCATCCCATTTCAGTTAGAATTACAAAATCTACTCCCAATTATTAAAAATCCCAATCCTGAATTCATGTATTTCAATATATTTGAAATCCTAAGGTTATTTATTTAAGTGAAAGCAGTGAGGAAAGGTTCCATGTATTAGAGGACCACTACGACGCAAGTTAATCAAACATAAAGGAGAGGTCATATAGAGGCCCTCTTCAAACAATCACATTGCTCATTCTTCAACATCAAAAAATCGCCCAAGTTAAGCTTCAAATTCATTTTAGCAATTCTTTGAGATCCACTCTCATGAGTTTTAAACCCTACCTATTACATATCCCTAAACCTACAATCCATAACTTTATAATCCTAGCCCACCATAAATCTGGGCAGATTCTTGTGAAATATTACAGATTCCACACGATGAGCCAACTAATTGCATTGGGATGGGAAAACAAAATAAACCATTAATCTTTTTTGAAATATTGAACTAACCTCTGCCATGGTGTGCTCCCTACATGCCTCCTTCCAGGTTGTGATGAATGTCTTCATTGAGTTATCAGAGAGTGAAATATCAGCTTCATCTAAATTATTTAACTCTTTGGCCTCATTTCCACTTTCTTTTGGAATAACATCTTGCTTGACCCCATCTCTTCTCCTCAACTTAGGTAGTCTAGAGATGGAAGGACTAGGAGTCTCATTTTTTCTTTTCCTTTTGTATGGCCCACAACAGTCATTATGCCTTGAGCTACCAGTAGCGGGAGAAGGTTTATTCATTCCATCTTTCAACCCAAGCCTTGTCAACTCTTCTGTTGCAGAGGGGTAAGGACAACTACCAACCCGATCAGAGCTACTAATAACTTGTGATGGAAACTTGAAGTCATTGCCTTCATCATTGTCATTCCTTTCGTCTTCATGAGGAGAGTCATTGCTATCTTCCTCCTCTGAGCTTGATAAATCAAATCGTATATGCTTGCCACAAAAATCCTTGTGTACTGAGATAAATGACTCAACTTGCTGTGAAATGTTAATATAACGTTCTTTTAGCTTCAGTCCTTTTTGGCATTTCTTTACCTCAAAATCTTTTTCTCTCTCAGCCTTCTTAATAAAACTAGTATGCATCCTATGATCGCAACAGTAACAATTTCAATATAATATAATATCAGATTTGTTGTCAAATTAGGATGTGGTCACTGAATATATTGATTCCTTCAATTAGATACCAAACCTATACAAGTATGTATTACTACCAATCTAACACTATAAGAAGAAGCAATAGGCAGTCAAAAGTTGACTTCATAAGATAATGTGTTCACATGCACGGTGTCAATACCCAATTAAGCCTTAGAACCAAATTATAGGATATCAGATAGAAAGTCCAAAGAAACAAACCATGTAACATATCACCAAAAGGATATCATACAGAGAGTGACAAAAAAAATCAACCATGTATTATATAACCAAATTATAGGGCATCATATGGAAAGCGCAAAGAAAACAAACCATGTAAGTATGCAACACATAAATATATACCTTTTAATGCCAAAAGAAGAAACTTTGCAAAGTGTAATAGATTTCCTAGCCTATGATAATAAAAGGCCAATTCCATTACTGTTAAGGACTAATAGTTATAAATTATTTTATACTGTATTAATGAACGTTTTACCAAGTCATAATACCTACAATGTGCCTTTGAACCAACAACCAAGACATTGGAGGTTGTAATCTATAAGCAGTATATACTGATTTGTGACAAAACCACAAAACATCCCCGTAAAGCAAATACCAAAATCAAAATAAGCCATGTTTTGTAAAACAGTTTTATGTAGCCCTCACAGCATTGGTTTCTATCAGTGCATGAGACTTTTCCTACTTAAAGTCAGTGGAAAGATATGGAATACATACGTCAAGCTCCGAATACGCACGCCAAGCTTTTCCTTGCTTGTGGTAGCTTGCTTGTCAGCAACAAAATCCAGAAATTCATCAATAAGAATTTCTTGACTTTTATGACTGTCCATGTATTCATGGAGGTGAGCAATTATGTCCTCACTTGTTATTTTACACACTTCCATGGTATTGATGTTTAGCGAAAAGTAACGCAAGACAAGAGGATGACGGAGCAAAGGGCCAAGCTCCAGCTTTTTAAATGTCCTAACACCCTCGTTCTCACATATTGCCATCTCCAATTCATACAACGTTGTAATCCTCCGTACTCCAACAAAACATTGAATAAATGCATTTACCTAAACAATAGACAGAGAAGAAAGTGAGAAATTAAAAAAAAAAAAAAGGAAATGAATGAAATAATCACTATGTTTCAAACTATAATTTGGTCTTTCATTTGGCATCCTAAATTGATATAAAATGGACAGTAGAAAATTTCAATTTGTCTGCAACAGGTGAAGAGCTCCTTTCAATGTGGCTAGAGAGATATGTAATCCCACAAGAGGAAAACCAACAAACTTTTTGTTATCAAAGTTAATAATTCCATGCAATTCCAACTTTCTGTAATAAAATATCTTCAACTCTCAGAATTTAAAAAATAAATCTTATTCTTCCCTTAAGGCTTTGGTTAAAAAAGAATCAAGTAGCAAAAACAACAACCCTCATCTTCTAAAAAAATCTATAAACAACAATAAATCAAGCTTTTTTGAGCAAAAATTAACCCAAAAGAGAGAGAGAGAGAGAGAGAGAGAGGCATCCAATTGTCTCTAGTCTACGTCAAGGATTTCAACATCATATAGACACTAAATTGCTACAAAATATATCAACAGAAACAACCTAAGCCTTATATTCTATAACTCTGGAGTCGGCTATATGAAAGGCCAAAAAAGGAATCATGTTAGGCCCTTCTTTTGAATCTTCTTGCGTCAATCATTTCTAAAACAACCTTTTCATATCCTAAATTGCTACAAAATATGAATATACAAAAATATATAATCAGTGTAATGTAATTACCCTTCCTTCAATGGTCATTAGCTTTTTCAGAGATGGAATCCCGTGCATATCCAATCCCAACGAGCTCCATGAATCAGCCTGCAGCGCCACCAGGGCTGCCTCTGAAACTTTCCATGTCGTAACACTCTTCCCAGATGCAATAAGCTCACGCCACGCCTGCTTCACGGCCTGGTCCGCTCTTTCCCAAACCTCCTTCGGGACTTGGCCAGAGGCGGCGATGCTTATCTGATTCTGAGGCTGACTTTGGCTGCTGCTGGGGCTATTGAATACCTGATGTTGTGGTTGTTGTTGGAAAGGGACGTTAGGGTTTTGGAAGAAGAAATTACTTCGGTTTTGTTGCAAAGGAAAGTTTGGTTGGATTGGGGTTGTAAGGGCTTGGAGGAATTGGAGAACGTTGGGGTCTTGGAGGGCAAGATTGTGATTTAGAGGTTCAGATGGCGGCTGAGATGGAGGACGGCCACCAGGGAGTCGGAAGGGATGGTGGCCATGGTGGCGACCGCGCATCTTCAATGCAGAGAAGAAAGTAGGGCTTAACGGAGGGTTTAATATTGTTGTCTTTGGGTATGCATTGGAGGCTTTATTTGGATTTTTCATATTTTCCCTTTTATATTTTTAATCAATTTCCTTTTTTTAAATTTTTTATCATTTTTTTCATGGCAAAACAAAAAAAATTCCTTTTTAGAGTTTATTAATTTATAGCTTTAAAAAATAAATATATATAATTCAGGATTGATGAAACGACAGTATAATTTTGCCTTCTGAGATTCCCAACTGAAAATAAATAGAAAGGCTTTTATAAGTCCCAAACGCCATTAGATATACTCTTGACTCCTGCTACACTCACCACCGTCACAGATTGGCAACCGGGTAGGGCGTTCATAATTCGATTTTAATTAAATTAAATGGTTGAATTTAATTAATTAATTAATTATTAAATTAATTTTAATCAATTAACAAAAATGATTTTAAAAAATTTATTTTTAATTAATTTGATTTGAAAATTGAATTAACTAAAATTTTAATTAAAATATAATATAATTCAAATATAAAATAAAAAATATATAAAATTAATTATTTTATTTTATAAGTTGTTAGAGTTTTTAACATAGTACTTTAATATTTAAATATTTTATTAGATAATTTTATTTAATTTATTTAAGATAACAAAAATTAAGAGTTTAAAATATATTTAATTTTAATGTATTTATTATTCGATTAATAAAAAAAATTAATATAATTAAATTTGATCGGTAAATTTTTAAAATTAATAAATTTGATTCAATTAATAAAAATAAAATAATATAATTTAGTTAGTTCGATTTTAGATAATTCGATTTGAAATTAACTAAATTAATTGAATGAACATCTCTAATTTTATTTAAATTTTTTACTAAATGTTCTATTATTTTAATTCTAGATTTTGAGTTTCGCTTTATTATTTGCATTAAATTTGTGAGTTTTATTCAAATATGATGAATTAACACATAAATTTATTTATTATTCTTATTATTGTTTAGCAAGTTAACTTGAGATTAAAGATGAGTTTTTTTTTTAATTTTATTGATAGTGTATATTGAAAATATAACATGATACGATTAATACAATTATATATGAATAATGCAATTACACATAATTAATTAATTTATTTGAACAAAAAATATTATTTAAATTAATATTTAAACAAAAAATTATTTAAAAATTAAATATTTATAATATATTTAAATACTAAAATAATATGATAAATACTATTATTAATTTATTTTTTAAATAAATTAAAATAATTTAAATTTTTTTTATATTATAAATAATAGTGTAATTACTATTTGATACAAATACAACATGAATAATATATTATATCAATCATACTGACATGACTAAAACATAAAATATGATTACACTAAATTTATACATAATTTTTTTCATGTTGTTTTTTTATTATATCATCATATCTTGTGTAAAATTATCAAGTTTATCTTGGATTGTTGCAAAGTATAATATATAAACCATGGTACCTGTTCTTGTTAGTTTCTTTTTCCCTTTGATTGCAGAAAGGAGTTTCTCGCTTCTAATGATCTTTTGACTTCTTGTTTTGATTTTGCATGTCGTTAAATACGTCAATCCCATTACCAAACTTTGTGTTATAAGAGCTTCAATAGAGGAGTACCAAAAAGTTTGGTCTGCAATAAGCATGGTTAGGAGCATCGGGAATTGCCCTCTGCTACTATTTAACTTGCTGGATCTTAGTGGTAAGTGCTGTAAGTATGAAGCCAAATTGTCGTTTTAGTGATATTGGAAAGAAGATGCTTTTATTTAAGTCTTCCAAGCTCGAAGTTCATTGTTGCTAAACTACAAGGGCAGTGATTAACAATTGTTACAGAAAAATTTTTAGCATGGAAAGATTTTCACGAGTATCGATTGTAGAATGTGGAGAATGATTAAGCATCTTGTTTTACCACTCCTCTTTTTACATGATGTGGATGTTGAAATATTTTGTGTGATTCTAAGCAAAGCTAAGACTTCAACAATGGTGCATAATTTGGTATGAAATTCTTGAAATGTCTAAAAAAGATCAAATTTTTTTTTTTTTAATCTCTAGTTTGTTTCTTTCTTCTAGGAAGTATAAAGGCCTGTAAAATTGCTGCCTTGAAGTGTGATGTTACCCAGCACAAGCAGAACTGTCTCGAGAAGATAAAAAATTTGGAACACTAAAGGTGCTCCGCATGCAGCGGCTGACTGCCCAATGATGCTGGTATGCTAGTGTGCACCTGAGATCAAATTTTTTGCATTCTGAGTTGGCATACATTTTTTCACAATATTTGGAGTATCATCTTAGAGGGCAAGCAACGGCAAGGTTGTTATGTGTAATCAAAAGATCATGGATTCAAGTCTTGAAAACAGTATATTTGCAAAATATGAAGGGAATGCTACATCTTGTGGATCGAAATTTACTTTTTTATTCGGAGTATCATTTTTTCTTTATTTCTAATTGGTTCTCTTGCATTATCATCTTATCTCTATTTTTAATCAATTCTCTTGCATTATCTTAAATTTAGTCGGATAAATTTAATTAGTTTAATTGATTCTCTTGCATTACAATAGAATGATATTTCACAAAATGAGTTCGAGTGTTGAAAAAAACATTCTCTCTGCAAAATATAAAAGGAAGGCTGCATATTATCAACCCTCACCTAAACACCCACAAAACGGAGAGTCTTGTGAATTGAAATTTGCCCATTTATTTGGAGTATCATCTTACCTTTATGTCTAGTTGATTCTTTTGCATTACCTTAAATCTAGTGGGATAAGTTTACTTAGTTACGATGTGGCTGAAGGAAGTAATTATGAAACTCGCGTTCATATTTGATGCTTTAATGCCTGGTTGTAACAGTTACGGACCCAGGCTAAACGTGGCTGTTGCAAATTGATATGGTTCAACATCTTGATTCTTGGAGTTTGATTAAGTTCATCACTGTCTTAATAATGAAGAAAAGAAAGCAACCGACCAAGTACTCATTTAGAGGTGAAACAGAATTTGGTATAGTTAGAGGGAATCAATGTCACTATCCCAAAGAAAAAGAACATTGACCACTCTCATGTATCCAAGTGATGCTTCTGCATCTTATGGAATTTTTATGTGTGTTAAAATAGAAGAAGTTTAAAAGATGTGATCAACTAAGCAAGTCCTTTATTATATTATAACTGCATGTTTAATGAGAAAAACTAGTCACTTTTGGACAAGTGAAAAACTCAAGATGAAATAATACGAAATTTATACAAAAAAAAAATGATAAGAATGAGTTAAGCAAAAACAAATATATATATTTTGTGTTGTGCGCAATGATAGTAACATGTAAAATAATATTGTGTTAAATATGAAATAAATAAACATGAGAATAGCCAAATCTACCTTTAGGCATGGCCTGCTTATAGATGGTCCTCATTGTTTTGCGATTTCAAGCCCAAGGGAAATAGCATTTTTCATTGGCTCCCATGGGAGATTGGCCATACTGCTTTGTAATCCCACAAGGCACATAAAATGATACTATTTATTGGTGAAAGAATGGAGAATGCGCAAAAAAAGTAATTATTCTTATGCCATCAAATTTAGTCCAAAGTCAGCAATAAAAAAAGTACAACTTTTACTACTCCCGTTGGATACAAAGATGATAACAGCTCAGACTCTAAATCATGCAGGCACACGTTGTCAACAAATACCACAACCTGTATACGATGCAAAACAAAGGCTTTTAACATCATCGCAGAATCCTACGCCTGTGGCGTGGTGTCTCTCGTCTTACATACATTTTCTCCATTTCATTGAGTGGTCGACTTGATCCATCAGGTAAACTTACAAACTTCCACCCGCCACCACCTCCACGCTTTCCTTTTGGTCCCAGTTTCTCTACTGTGAAGTTCCAACCATCGGAGGGGCGCCTCCTGCTATACTTGTGGCGCTTTACCTTGCCAGCTATCTGTATAAAAGCAAGAACACATTGGCATTAATGAAAAATATAAAATAGAATTAAATATATACTAGACAATTGAATTTTAGCTTGTTAAGTAAACGTGATAGAGGAGAAAAGGCCACAATGGGACTTTTATTTTAATGCCAAGCAAAATGTAACTTGAGAAATGCCCATAACCACAACAAGAATCTTTGTTCCATTGATTAACTTGGATAGAGTTAAAAAAAGAACAAGGCTGACTTCCAAAATTAAATAAAAGCAAACTTTGCTCCCTAGTCATCAGAAACTTCAGTTTCTTACTTGACAGGAGATTATCAGCCTTTATCACTCATGTCGACAAACAACATTAAACTCCATTCTATTAATTTGTCAACATCTGATCACTATCCTCTTCTTCTCTCCATATTTCAATATGGACCCGTTTCCCATATAAATTAATCACTTAGCCTATTCGAAAGTAAATCAAGCCAAACTAGAGCAGTCTGTGAAGAAACACCAGAGAGAGACAGAGACAAAGAGAGAGGGAGAGAATGTGACAGTGACAAAAGCTGCAAAAGCAAAAGTTACAACGTAGAAATGGTAGTGATGACAAATTTATATCAGCAAATCTAATTCTTGGTTCTTCTACGAAAGGCAGGGAGTGAAGCAGCATACCTTCATTTTGTTAAAGTTCATCCTTTGAACAAATTCTTGATACATCATTTCATCCTCTTTCTTGGAGATCTCATAATGAACTTCATCTAGATCCTTGATCGTGCCATCCCAACCCTCAGGCATAACCTTGAACTCAGGTTTGTATGGAAGGGATGCTACATGGAATTCCCGGTCATGGGAATTAAAAAATCTGCAGCAGGAAACAAGCTAGCCATTCACCACTAAGCTATAACCAACTTTTAGTTATTTATGTACTTTTTATATCTATAAACACTGTTTTCAAGTGCAAATATTCACATTTTTGCATACAACATATGATACAATTTATTACTGAAAGTGAAATGAGGAGATACCCAAGTACTTGAATAGCATGCAACAAAGCTCACTAGGAGAAAAATGATAAGCAAGGAGAGAACAACAGTGTCTGTGTGTGCGATGCACAGGATGAAAGCACCTAAAACTAGGAATTCAAGAGCATTAGCAAGTAAAGGAAGACATCAATACAAAAAGGTAGTGGTGTCATGAAACAGAGTCCTTTAATCCTTTAAAAGTTCAATTATTTCTCTCCCTTTATCCAAGTTATCAAACATGAATATACGACTCTTAAGTAATTTCAACAACCAAAATATTAACCACCAAGGTAGAGTGGACAAAACGCAGTAACACTCAACACCTATCAATATTAGCTTAACAACCGAAAAGAAAAAAATGAAAGAAAGATAACAAAAAAAACCCAGACACCCATAAGTAATAATAAAAGCACTAAAGCTGCATTTCAATAATTTTTTTGTACAATAAAGTTTAAGGTGAGGGTAGGCTTCTATGTTCCAAGACCAAGACATACAGTATGGCTCCGTTAAGACCAACATTGGTGGTGCGAATCAAACCTAGGCCATAAGCAAAGTATTCGATCCTTACCAACTCAGCCATTCCACCATTTCTATCATTTTCGATACCAGCAATACCACTAAACATTCCAACTGCATCCAGTTTAGATAATTGTAGCCATAAAAAGTTTTTACAATTCAATGCATCAAACAACCATTTTCAATGCAGAAATAAATCAGCATCACCTAAAACTCATCAAAAACACACTTTCGATTGCGAAAAAAGTTTTAAATGTTCCAAAACTGATCAAAACAATACAATAACAAGCAACTCAAACCAAAAAGAGGAATAAAAGAAAGGAGTAAATTACTCAGGGCAAGTGTCAAGAAGGCGCTCAACAGAGTCGTCAAGAGGATGACCAAGCTTTTTCTCCATTTCCTCCTCATCTTGCTTAAGCCAAAGAATAGCTTCCACTCTCTGTCTCATGACCCTAAAATCCTTAGCCAATTTCTCAACAGTATAAACCTCTGGGTTCTGTTTATGCAAACGGTACATTTCAGCCTTTTCAGAGTCTTTAAGATAAGACCCTCTGGCACCAGGCTCACGCACTTGCTTCAACAACACGCTCATGTCATGCATTCGCTGTTCCCATCCATCCACGAAAGCCTTGAACTTCTTGTTATCATCATTCAACTGTTTCAACGCATCAGCTTCGTTTTGAAGATCCCAAATCAGGGAAGATTGGTCGGCGTCTCCACCACCCGCCTTGGGATTCATGGTTCCATCGAAATGGTCCTTGGTCAAGCGATTGGACCACGAGGAAGCAGTGTCCCAGCCCAGATCATTGGAACCACGTGAGTTTGCACAAAAAGCACGTGACCCAATGGCTCGAAATGGTTCGTTTCGAAGGGATATTGGTTTCTTTGTGGATGAGAGACGGGATATCAGGCGACGAAGATTGTGCATTTTCGCATCAGTTTTTGAACAATCTTAGCTGCACCCAAAGAACCAATAAGCAAACATCAGTGCCCTAAATTTGTTCTTTGATTTGCAAACCTAAAACAATTAGAAGAGTAGAAGGAGATAGTAACTGAAATTACCCGGAGGAAATCGACGGCAGATGAAGGCTTAAGATAAGAAAAAGAAATAATGAAAAATTGGATGAAAAAGAAAAAAGCCCCTCCAAAACCCTATAGACCTTTGGGGTCACGAGTCTGCTACACGACGTCGTTTTGTTTACTAGGGCTTCCAATTTTTTTTTTCTTTCCTCCTCTCTAGCATTTTATAAATTTGTTCTATTTCATCTTTTTAATATTTGAATCCTGAAACTTTTAAATTAAAATCTTAAGTGTTGAAATATCTCATGAAATATGAATTTTCTTTAAATGATTAATCCCTAAAATGTATTTGGTAACAGGGTATGAATCAAAAGAACATAAAAATTTTTTATTATGTTTGTAATTTATTTATTTAACTAACAAATTTTAAAATATTATTTGTTGTGGTATATTAAATTTAATAAATTTAATAAATGAATAAAAATTAAATTTATTCACGATATTTTTATTGAATTTTTTTTATGAATGTTGTTTTTACTCACGTTTTACTAAATGAATTAAATATAAATAAAATTTATTATATTCATAATTTATTTGTTTAATTAATGAATTTTAAAATATTATTCATTTTTATTTGTTAAATTTAATAAATGAATATGAATAAAAAAAAAGAATCTGTTCATGAACAGTTAATCAAACATTTTATTAATTTGTATTCTTATTTGATAACATGCATAAATCGGCAAATTTTTTTTAATCCATTGACTATTTTTAATTGAAAAATTATTATATTAACTAATCTTGATTGTGAAGTTTAAATATTTTAGTAGACGGAATAAATTTTTTATTTTAAATTGAAAATATACATTCTACTTAGTTTTCTAGGAAATAAGAAACTCAACTTACAAAAAATTTCAGTCCGTTGGTTTTATGCTTTTAAAAATTATACAGTCGTTGGTTCACTAACAAGTGTATATATGAACATAAAACTACACAAACAATGAAGAGATTTGTCTTGTTTGATCAAATAGACTTGAAAACGGCTAGTGATCAATGAAGGATCACAATCTTAGCTGAGACATCCAAGTGCAGCTCATCGACAAAATCATGGACAGCGGTATCTTCCTGTTTTAAAGGATTTGCCGGAGACAAGTTCATTCAGATGTAATAACCTTCAAGATGTTAGACGAATTGCTTCAAAAACTCTGTAGCCACCAACCTCCCTCGTGTATTCACAGACATTTTCAATTCGCTTATCTCTTTATCGATATCCTGAGATTGTGAGAAGAAATTGTTTCAAGGGTTATCAATATAAACATGATAGAGTTTAAAATTTTAGCAAAAACCCTATATGGGTTTGACAAAATCCAAAAAATGTGTTATGTTTGGTATGTCAACGGGAATTGTGATATGATAATTTTTGTACTTTACATATATTAGACATAAAATATATAGACACGATACAAGAATTGCCGGGTCTAGATATCAGTAGAATGGTGATAGACTGATAGGCCAAGAATCAATTATAAACCGATCCAGCGAAATCAGGCCCTGTGTGGAGCGGAATGGCAATAAAAGATTCATGAATGATGAAACCAGCATTTTGGTTCTAAGGTTAGTTCTAACATAAAGAAGGTTAAATTCAGTTTTGGATGGCAAAATAGTGTCCATAAATCAGAAGATAAGTACAAGAGCTAAGGGTATAGATTACAGTTTGTTTCCTATGTAAGGGGGTTATAGAGGATTTAACATGAATACGGTTTTGCTGAAAGTGAGTTTTAGAATTGAGGGATGAAGAATCAGATCTAATATCTTCAAAATACGTTGGCAATACAGAGGAAGGAAGGAAACATTGAAGAATCAACGAAATATTCAACTAGAATTTTAGGAACACTAAATACATAAATTCCAGAATCAAAATGAGTAGAGCAAGTAGAATGCATGGTAGAGAGCATAAGCGAACATAGTCAAAAGCATTAGAATAATTACACATATCCCTTGATATAATTGTTCTTAGATCCTTTAAAGTTTTCATACTAACAAATTTTCATAGAATGCATATATGCGTGCGCAAATGATAATGCAGTTGTATGCTATTGAACACAAACCTTAAAACTATTTGGAAATTTTAGAAAGGAAAAGAAGTCATGAGTTTATCAATATTTTTATGTTTGATTATGTAAGATTAAATAGAGATCCACAATCTATAATTGGGAGAAAAGGATAACGGATAAAGTTCAGAAAATTCTTGCCTCCATGAATTGCACAATAAAATCAATGAGCTTCTGTTTCTGCATTTCTTCACAGTGGTAATTTGTGATAAGAAAACTGATGTCATAACCCTGCTTGATGAAGCAGCAATTGAAAATTAAAAAACAATCGTCTAGATTATAATCTAGAAAATTCACAAGCATAATGAAGAGACAAAAGCAATTTCTGCATTACATTTACAATAAACCTATATCATAGTCCATAAACATGCTTTATCAACTTAACATTTAATGACTTGAACAAAGGGGAAAGAACGAATTAGATAACGACAGACAAAACCAATCTCATCATGATAACATTTTCTCTCCTTGCTACTTCAGTCAATTAGTAAATGCTAAATATAATCGAATATAAAGTTTTACCAGAATAAGTATCAAAATAGAAAAGGGGAAATCAAGGTATACATAAGGTAGCTTCAGTTCATGAAAGATTTCAAAATATAAGAGCCATGTGCAGTCTATTTCATTACTAAAACAGATATATAGCCATGTGTAGTCTATTTCATTACTGAAACAGATATATGGTAAAATAATCAGCCAAATGGATAGAAAAAAGATGGAGACAAATTTGCCAATCAGTTTTAAAAGGTTACAGTGTGTAGAACAAGGAAATATTTAAAAGTCTTCACCTACAATTGGCAAAAATGTACTGATTGTTATGACCACTTTTGCAAAATGTTGGACAAACAATCATTTCTCAAGGCAAGTTGATTGGTAATCATGTAAGTTTGTCAAGCAATAATAATTTCGAAGGTAAATCAAGTGTCAATAATGAGATGAAAATAAATGTACCTGTACTGGTTTTCTTCTCAAAACTTGAAATGCTTCTGCCCTCATTGACAAAAATCTGAGAAACTTTTTAGTTAGTATGTTTTCAAGTTCATCCGCCTGTTTTACCTGTGCAAGAAGAAAAGAGTATGCATATAAGGACAATATGGGAGAAAGATTGCAAATTTATCCTGATCTTAGTTTAAGACTTAAGAACAAAATTCTGTGAGAAGCATAGGTTAAATATAAGCTTTTAAAGAAATAAAATCAAATGAAAATTATATAAAATGATACACTATTCTAGGGAGGTTAGTGCTGCTCTCTATAAGCTGAGATTGATATCAACAATGAAACATTAAAACCAAAATTTGCATTATCCAAAACACACATTCTTTTATTAACTTCTGGCAAGCACCCATGAAACGATGAAAGATTATGCTCGAAGCTCCTTTCAAATTTAATAAGCCCAACAGCCAACAAATGTTGAGCCAATTAAGTCCATTTTCTATGTTTCAGTTGTTTCATTGGTTGCAAAGTTGTTACCTGACAACTCAACTAAAGCTAATTTCCATCCAAATGAGTTTAGTACAACAACATGATGTATAATACAGATAGATACCAAAAAAAAAAAAAGAATTATAATTTATTCCCTCATTTTTCAAGTTTACAATATTAACATGATTATTTATCTAGAATCCCAACGAATTTAAATAGAAGAGAAGACATAATCCTATGACATGAGCAGTTCAGATTATCAAACAACAAAGTCTGTGCTTCATATTAGATGAGTAGGAGAAGAAAATAGGAGACATTTCCAAACAAAGGAGAATTTTCTCTGTGGTGGTACAACACATAGATTTCAAGGGTCAACATATAGTAGACTGACAACCAAGGGCAATAGATCATTCCAATTAATTTGGGGAAAAAGAAGGAAAAAGGGGCCAGATGATTTATCTTTCAAAAATTATTTATCATCATTTTAAATAGAAATAGTCATCAGCATCATGTATGTGGTGCTGTTTATTTAATCTAAAAGCAAGAAAACATTCAAAACTCAAAAGATCCTCTTTGCAGCAATTACCTCAGCCAGACAAAAGAAACATACAGGGAAAGAGTATTTATATTCACCTTGAGGCTTATCCGTAGTGAATTGATAGATGTTTCTATTAAGCATTTTTCAGCCTCATTTCGACATATCAAAACCTGCAATGGCAAATGGTCATATTAAAAAGACCTATAACCAGAAATATAAAAAATTTAACAGGAGAGAACTAAAAAATTAACTAGCCATTTCTAATCCTACAAATTAAATAACAAAAAATCACATTTTTAGTGGCATATATGCATATATATGGATGATATACCCCATTATTGGATTGCATAATGAAAGGTGTATAACATGGTTGTTTGAGAGGTGACAAATGTCCAGTGTCCAATGTAAAACTCCTATGGCTTCATAGTTTCAAAAATGAAAAGGTAAAATCCAGGCTCGCCAGGCTTAGTTTGTCAAAGTTACAATTTTCAGTCCTCCAAACTCAAAAACAACTAGTTAAAGTGACTAAACAAATTAAGTGATTGATAGAAAACACACAAATTCCATACTAGGTGGATTCATTTATCATACCTTCTGCATGCAGAATCCACCGTAGCCTAAAAATTTAACAGTGAAAATATGCAGAAAACACAAAATTAGGCTCCATTTCACGTTGCTTTTGCTACTGGACTTGTTCTGTCCCTTTGCTTCCATAAAATTGTTAATTTGTTAAAAGCAAAAGCAAATGGCAAAAAAGAGGATCATCTTGGACTAAAGATGAAAAAGAACCAATTGAAATTAAACACCAAATAGGATATAGTTATTATTTCATATAAAAGTAAAAGCCTATATTTTGTTGTCCAAAGATTAAAAATTTTTAATTTGTCATTCCTCAAAATGTATATATATATATATATAAGACATAACAAATTAAGGTTTAAAAAAAAAAAAAAGAAACTAGGAAAAATATGCCTATGTCTCATGAGTCAAGAAGATGGTTCTTACAGGATTTAGCAGAAGTTCTGGGCTTGTCCTGCACAATATGAAAAAGAAAAATATTAAAAGTTTGTTCTGAAGCATAGGATGCAGTGCTGCAGGACATGAAAGTTTTCACAGTTAGATCAGAAAGGTAATTTTTCCATTTTGATTGTTGGTATGAGAAAAAAAAACACTACTTGATTTTAAAATCTTTCAATAAAATTGTAAAGTTTTTCACTATATTTCTTTTGGCAGTTATCATTCATTACACTTGTAAATTAGTCATCAAAATGGAGAACAGTATCATATGAATTACTACCAAACATGCATAAAAAGAGCATATTATGAGTTTCAAATGCTTAAAATATCTTGTAAAATAAACAAATAAACAAAGATGAGGAGTGGAAACTATTAACATGCTTGATAAATGTCCATATAGCCCCTTGCTGACAATCTTGTTTCAGAAAAGAAGAAACTAGAATTTTCAGAATTGGCCAGTGTCTTGGGGAACGGAGGGAAGACTGAAATCTAAAGAAAAAGATGAGATAAGAGAGTTACAAGAACGAAACAACATAATAAAAGGCTTGTATACATGAATGGCCCCAAAGATTTAAGATAATGCTGGCATCTCAGTATCTGAAAATCATTTCAAAAGGACTAGGGAGCATATTTAGCTTGTATGAATAAAAAATTAACTGGTGATCCTACACCATGACGTTAGTACTATTTAAAAAAGAAAGAAGAAAAAAAAACCTACACATAGCAAATTTAAACAAGACCTTGTCAATTCGAGGAAGAACTTGCAAATTAAATCTAAGAGCTTAACTAAAAAGTCAAATCAGTTAAACCTGGTCTATGATCTGCATAAGATAAGTAGCATAATAATTATAGAATGATAACACAATTCCACAACAAGGCAATGCGGGAAGCAACGTTTATTTATGTTCCTTATTAATTTTTCCACAGCTTGCTAGTACTTTGATCACTTTCTTTACATATAGCTTATCCAATCAGAATATGTCAAATTCTAAACTACGAAATTAATGATGAAACTGAAATGATTATACATACTTTAGTTCAACTTCTGGCTTATTATGCCTCTCAACTTCTTGACAAGGAAAATTCTGCAACCAGCATGTGAATAAGAGAGTAAGACTTAATGGACACATATATCTTGTAAAAAAAATTGAAAACAACAATCTTTGCCAGGCCAACACATTTAATTGAAGTACGTCTTTCATGATGCATATTGTTGTTCAAAGGAACACCACAGTCAGTTTATAAGATTAATAAGGCCTAGCAACTAAAGTCAAGAATCAAGAATAATTATCAGCATAGGCACAAAAGACATATCCAAAAGCACCGTAACAACAAAAGATCTTCAAATTTTTAGCCAAAAATAATCTAGAATATACATATAGTTGGCATAGCTTTAAATTTTGTGAAGATGTAGAAACTCGGCACAAGCACTGAAAATCCTAGGGCAAACCAAAGATAATTTAGAAGAACTTCAAAGTTCTGGTACTTGCAAATCATAAGAGCTCCCAAAGGAGCATATTAGTCAGTGGCAGCAACCTACTGTATCCATCATTTTCTAAACTAAAACTCGGAAACATGACAAACATCTATATACATTTCTAACCATTCCCAATTCTGATTACATCAAATCCTCAACCCTTAACCATGAAGCATTATGTCAAACGAAAAACTGACGACTACATCTCCTCTTCCAAGCCATTCTAACAACCAAAAATACAAAATCTAACACAAAAATCATGTGACTCTTCAAATTCAATCAGATAATAGTCACAAAAGCTATTCATACAAATTCCAAACATAAAGAAGCCAATACAATACCTCTCTCTATACTCAGTAGCAATTAATTTATAGTAAAATTATAATTTTGATTCGCATACCTGGAGACACATGGCAGCCTCAAGAGTGTTCCTAATGCAAGTCAAATACAACCTCAACGTGTTGGCCTAAAATTTTTTGTAACAATCAATGAGAAGAATTACAAAAAGGAACTAAACAAGTTAGAAATCAAGCAATTGGATCCAAAAACAATAGAGAAAAATTCAAGGAAAACAAAGGGTTAATAAAGAAAACAATGCATCAAGTTACTACTTACTGAGATCGGTAACTTAGATATTGGTTTTTGTTCAATTTCTAATCACTTTCTAGGAAACCAAACAGGAGTGAAGTGGAGAAAGGGAAAATTCGGTGTTCTTACCATTTTTTTCCTTTTTTCGTGGATTTAAGCAACTGATGTAAAACGAAACGATTTTTGAACTGGTTGTATTGTATTTGGATTCGGTGTTGCTTCTTTGATTGAACGCTTGCTTTGCTGCTATTGAAATCTTCGTTCTCTTTCGACAAAACGATAAAACCAAAAACTGAAAAAGAATTTGAACAACAATAAAATAAAAAAATGAAAAAGTTGAAAAAAAATGATTCCGACCTGCCGGATTCGAACCAGCGACCTAAGGATTGGCTGTGGCCATAGCCAACTACAGTCCTCCGCTCTACCAACTGAGCTAAGGTCGGCTTGCTTGAGAAAAATCTTGGATGTTAGGCTTTTCATTGCTAGTTTCAATTAATTTTGACCTAAAATTACTTAAAATTAAATTAACCGAATTATATTATTTAAATTCTATTAGTCGAATAAATTTTTTTTTAATTTCGAAAATTAATTGATCAAAATTAATTCAATCAATTTAAATAATAAAATATATTAAATTAAATTATATTTTAAATTTTTTATATTCAAAATAAATTAAATAAAATATTTAATAAAATATTAAATTAAAAACTCTAATAACATGAAATAAAATGAAATATTTTATATATTTTTGTGTTGTATATAAATTTTATAATATTTTAATTAAAATGTCGGTTAATTTGAAAATTTTGATTTTCAATTAAATTAACAAAAAATAAAATTTTTTTAAAATTACTTTTTACAACCAATCAATATTAATTCAATAGCCAATTAATTAATTTAATTTAATTAATTAAATTAATTAATTCAATTAAAATCAAATTTTAAACATTATTTTTTTAAGGATAATTTATCATTTGTAAAACTTATATTAATAATTTAAAAATTTTTTCATAGCTCTTAGAGTTGACAATTCAGTTTATCTTGTTTTCGACAGGTTTTTATTCGATCTGACATCATAAGGTCATATTTTTTTTTTAAAAAATCAAATTTTAAGTCATTAGATAAAGCTAAAAAAAATCGGAGTTAGATTAAATTTGTATAAAAATTATTTTTAATTAATTATTTAATTTTTTATTTATATATATTTATATAATTATATATTTAAATATTTATATTTCAAAAAATAATATTTTATATTAAAAAAATAATATTTTATTAATTTTAAGTAAGATTGAATCAGATTCGATTTATACGATATAAATCAAATATAAAAAATTTTAAATCAAATTAAATTTAAATTTAATAATATAAAATTAAATTAAATTCAAAATAAATAAAAATTCATTCCAACACCACCTATTGCGAACCTAATAAATATATCTTATGATTTACTCCATGTATTTATCTCAATCTTTTTTTTTTTTTTTTTTGTATAAATTGGCATCGTTAAAAAAAAGTTTTGCACGAAAGAAACCACACCACCCATTGAAAAAGGCGCTGGAACAGGTACTCGCTTCCTTACCATTTCAACATTGGAATCGAGGTTTTTTTTTTTTTTCGTTGAAAGGGAAGGTGAAATGAAAGATGGAGTTAGAGTACAGTGAGAGAGACGAGATCAAGGACCAATGAATATTTTAATTAGTATTAAAATGATTTAACCTGCCATAAAGATAATTGTAGGCAGAGAATAGCCTATCAGTCTCAACAAGGAAAAATCCTCCGTTTACCAACACCTGTGATTCTCCGTCAACGGTTGACTTTCTACAGACAAAAACACCCAAAATTCCTATTCTTGTTTTACCCCTGCAATTTCCGGTGAAAATGATCCCTGGAAAATAATTTTTCCCGAGAATATGATTCGATTGTCATGAAACTAAAAAAAAAAAAAAAACAACTCTAATCCGGCGAGACGTTGTACGATGAGGTCGACCTATGGCTTCTTCTTAAACTCCCAAAATCGAGAGCTTTCCTCTTCAATTCTTTCATGGAAAATCCAGAACAACGGGACCGAGACAAAACCCTAATTACCGAACCGAAGGAAATCAATGCAGCAGAAGAAGATGTGCTAGTAATTGAATGGGAAGATTTCGAGCATAAGCTTGCTAGATTGTGGAGTTTAACTTCTGCCCTTAAAGAATCTAATGATAAGAAGAAAAGTCTTCAAGAAAAACTCCAGTCACTTATTCAGGTAAGGCATTTTCTGATTAAAATTTGGTTAAAAAATATATTATTTGGGAGAATTATGTTGTTTTTAGTGCATCAGTTTCGAATTTTTTGTTTGTAACCTGAATTTGAAGAGAGAAATAGGGATTTTAATGGGAAAGGAAATTTGGGATTTTGTTTGTTGACTGGTAGTGGATTGTGTGAAAGATAAATGCGCATTGCTGAATTTGTAGAACTTTGGAGTAGTAATTCAGTTTTTATGTTAATTGTTTTCCTAAGGAAAAAGAAAAAGAATAGAAGAAGAAAAGTTTCTAAAGCAGTGGGATCAACTAGAGAAATAAAAATTTAGAGGTTTTATGGATTCTAGATGTAGTAATGTGCAGTAAATTTTCTAAGGAGTTTTAGGTGGGAAAGGAACCATAATATGGAATAATTTTAGTTTTATGCTCAATGTTGTTATTTTTAAAGATGGTAGGATGAAGTTATAGTTTTCTGTATATATAATTTTTTTCCCACTGCACTTTTATTAGCTGTGTTTGACAGCTGATAGGCTCTTAGTCCTAGAGCAGCGAAGAAAATAGATTTCTGGGGTCTTCACTACTGGTGTCTTCACTTAAATTGTTAACTTGGTTGGACAGTGTAGATGGTGAAATTGGTAGAGCCACTAATTTTAGTTTGGAGTACTATGATTTCTGTTGGGTTGTATAAATGTTTCACCAAGAATATGAGAAAGAAGAATTATCACTTAAGCTTTATCGGAAGAAAGGAGAAGAGAATTGCCTTGGATAATGGAACTTTTTCCTTAACAAAATCTTAAATATTGAATTTGGCTGGATGCCTTCACTTAATTGGCCCACAGCCCTTTTATTCCAAGGTTTGTTGCCATTTGTACCAGATTTATATATTGCTTCTATTTAATTTCTTTTCTTCCCTTTTATCTTTTCTTTCCACTTCTCTGTTTTTTAGGTCCCTTAAATTGTTTTATATTGTAATTCAAACATACCATTGAAAAGTGGATAACGCATTGCATTTGCATTTTCCTTTTTTCATTAAATTTTAGGAGATCTAAAAAGTTGAATTAAGAAAGACATACAACAGTTGAAGGAACAGATGGAGTTTGTAATTTGATATTGTTTTGTCTGCACGAAGTTTTTTAGCATCTTCTCTCAATCTCTTTTGGTGGGATATATTGGACCTAATTAATTGGCCTGCTGATTAGTGCATGGGAAAATGCTGTGCAGGTCAAAACTGAGTCATTGAATCAACTGAATGAGCTGGAGGTAATGCGTGAAAGACTAGATGCAAGAAAATTAGTTATGGGAAACATGTTAACTCGTTGCATGGTTGCAACAGAGGATGCTAAAAAACAGGAGGAAATGCTTAGTGCTGAAGTGAGATCACTGTTGGTTGCTGGTATCTCTCTTTCTGTAGCAAAGAAGCAATTGCAGGTGAAATATTTTTGTTCTTACTTGAAATGTCAGTTATCTTTGGAATTTCATTTGATGTTTTGAGGAAGATTTAATATATGATATTTTAGAAGTTATTTGCTTATTCAGCTTTAGATGTTAGATATTCTCCCCTCTAATGCAAGAAATCCTCTCTCTCTTCCCCCCTTACACCCTGGGTAGAGGTGGATGGGGGGGATTAGATGGGAAGGATTCTCATTCTATAAATTCCTTGAAATAGTCGGGGATTATTCCCTTCTTGTGCTCTTATTTCTTTCCCTCCTTTTTCATATATTCAGTACTATTTCATACATTGCATGATTGATTGTCTGACGATTTTATTACAGGAATCAAATGGATTACTCACTGAAGAAAGGGGTTACATTAAGCTAAAAAATGTGCATAGGAAGCTTCGAGCAAGGCACCAATATATGGTATCACAAGTTTCATTGCTCTATCCCGTAAAAATCTTGGTTGGATCCACACAAGAGCAAGAACTTGAATCCTGTCCAAGCAGTAGTACACTAGGTAACGTGCTAATAGTTTCGGGTTTTGGATATCATGGAGTTTTGGATATCTTGTACTTACATTATATTTAATTGAATATTCTGTATCTAAGTTCCTTTTGTTGATGCTGATGCCAAGTTCCTTTTGTTGTTGTCTTCACCAGGGAATTCTTCTGTATCTAAGCGCATTAACCAAGGATCCTTGATGATTTTAGGTCTGAATCTCACCATGCTTCCTTTTACAAAGATGAGTTTTTTCACTGGCAAAAAGGAGGTTCAGAGATCTGCAACTGCCTTAGGATATGTTGCACATGTGAGTTCTATTCCTTTGGTTAATATAAAGTTATCCTTTATTACTGAATTTGTTTTCTGATAATATCAAGCTATAGGCATCAAGTTTTGTATATACCACCTACAATCCCTTGTTGCTCAAGGATAATGCTGTTATTTTATATTGCTTAAATGGAAATATAGTATCTTCGGCACAGTCTTGATAGCTTGTTTCTCTTGCTGAGGCAATAATTTTAATTATACCTAATTATTCTTTCTTGTTTCTTGCTAATTCTTCATTTACAGGCTGTTTCACTAATTGCATCCTATTTACAAGTTCCCTTACGTTATCCTCTGCGCTTGGGTGGTTCCCACTCATACATTAACAACCATGCGCCTTCAGTAGAGCCTACATCTTCTGATTTGTCATGGAATACATCACTTTCTGCAAATGTAAAGCCTGCAGAATTTCCATTGTTTTTAGAAGGTCAAGACACAACAAAAGCAGCATATGCAGTATTCTTGTTGAACAAGGTGAGTTTTCAAATGCTATCATTTTTTTGGTGAATTATTCTCCTTTTGCATTTTTTTATGTATGTTATTGGATTCAAACCTCTTCAAAGTTTGCTTGTCCTTTACAGTTACTATAAGATGCTGTTCATCCACAGCTTTGAAAAAGAGTGCTTGTTTGTTTTCGGCCTTTACAAGTCATATTATGTTGTTGGCAGTGGCTAATCAATATTCATCATCATGGTTGAAAAGTCCGTAGATTTTGTATTTAATTTCATCCAGTTTCATGGAATAGGCTCTTAAGACAATCTATAAATGTCACCAGCCCTATCAGAATGTAACATGAAATCCTTATTTTTAACTATGAGATGAGATGCAGGATTATCAACAGATTTGAAAAATGTGATAATAGCCACACCTTACGTCTAAAAGAGGTCTGGCACTCAAATCACATTCCCCATAACTCAGCTAAACATCTAAATGGGAAAGGTAATGACCAAACTTTTGTTTTTCCAGTTTCTGGCCCTTTCTCTTCCTCTTCCCTTGTTTCCCTACTTTGAAAATTCTTTCCAGAAGTTTATTCTTTTCTTCTCTTTTGTTTATAATGCCTTAGTTGCAAATTCCTTAAGGAGAAATGCTCACTTATAATCCACTTACATTATTGTAATAAGTTTACACTGCTTCTAACTTTCTATGTGGTTTATCTTTTACTAAGTTTACTGTTTGTTCTAATAATCTAATTCTTGCACATCAATGAATTTTAATTTGCTCAGTCCTTATTCTTAAATGTCTGATATAGGATTATTCACTAAATAGGAAAAACCATGATGATGGTCAGACCTTACATCCAATAGCACTCAAAATCTCCTGTCTCCTAAATTATCAAAAGGCTAATTGGGAAACATGCAAATTATTTGAGTTTCCAATTTTGGTCCCTTCTCTTTCTCCTCTTATGTCTCCTTCTCTTTAAAATTTTAATCTTTGTTTTGTCATATAAAATAATTCTATTCCCAACTCCTTAAGCGGAAATACTTTCCCAATCCACTTGTAATTGTTACATTAGTGTATCAAGTGTAAACCACTATGTAACATTCTGCTTGTTTACTTGTTTTACCATTGTATATCTTCTAGCTGTTCTGATATTTGTAACATTTTAATGAAAGAAATTGCCATTTTATGGTAACTAACTATTGAAGTTTTTATGATGTTGTTAATCAATTTCAAATATAGCAAGCATTAAACCTGAACACTTATATAGAAGGGAGTTCAGTCAATCATTGGTAGACCAGATTAAGTTGCTTGTCTCCATGGTCTATTTATATTTTACTGAATATGGTTAAGGCCAAATATCATTTTAGGTTAAAAGGGGTTTGTAAGGAAGAACAAAAGTAGAGAAAGAGTGGATACTTCTCAAATGAGACTAACACATACTAACCTTATAATTATCTGTTAAGGAATCTTGAAATATTAATGTTAAATTTTGTTATCTGAGCATAGAAGGCCAACATATTGCAAATGGGTTAGAAATGTATATTTGTGACCAACTTCATATTCATATGAATGTATGGGTTCGTGACAAATCTCAATGGGTCAAGCTAGCATTCATCCTTGTCTTAATTTGTTGTACTAATGTTTTAAGAGTTAGTCAATGTTCCTTTTTGCAAAATGTTTCTTGAGTTAAATCAATTGTTTATGCAGTTATAAGCGGCATTTAACAGATATAAGATTCAAATTTTAGTACCTACAAGTTCTTTCTCTATTTTTAGGCTGCAGGTTTTTTTTTTTTTTTTTATACAAAAAAATGTTTGTTGAGATGCATGACATTTTAATTATATATTTTTTCAAATATTCATTTTGAAATGAATTCACAAAAGTCTTCCCTGTGTTTTCAGAATATAGAGCAACTTTTGAATTTCATCGGCATCAAGAGCTTAGGACCGCGACATGTGCTCGCAAATTTGAAGGAGCTTATGAGGACTGTCCAATCTTCAGAATTTATGAATTCATGAATTTTGATTTACGAAGGTAAACTTAATTAGTTAATTACAGTGTAAATGGACAACTTATAATTCTTCACACACGACCCGGGTGCAAATTTTTGACCAAGCACCTTTCATAAAGCCTTAAAAAAGGATCACAGTTTGGTTGTTACGAAATCAAGCCTAGAGTTGATTTCTAAGGAGCAGATTGTTTGATGTTACAGTAAAAATTCAGGTTTGGATGGTTCCCTTTCTGGATTTGTTTTAATATATGTTTTTTTGGTGAGAATATAAATTGAGAAGATAGGGAAATTAGATTGTTGTGTATAAATGTTACATGACAATGAAGTTGTAAAAAACCGAACTAAACTTTGCAAGATAAACCTTTTGGTATAAAATGATAGTTTAATGTCTAATCGAATTTCATTGGAGTTGGATTTTAAGGGTCAGGTTTTACTTGTCTTGATCTGGATTTTTTTTTTTTTGGGCAACAATGGATTATTTTTACGGTAATAAATATTTTTTATTTAAATTTAAAATTCAAATATTTTAGAACATATTAAAATTATTAATATAAAAATAATTTTTAATATTTTTAAACAGTAAAAATGATTGATTTGGATACAAATAGATGGGTCAGATGGATCCTAAACTTAAAAGTAAATTTGTCATTTTAAAATACGATACAATAAAAAAATATAAAAATAATATAATTTAAATTTTTTTAAAAAATTATAAATAAATTTAATAAAATTAAAAATTATATTTTATGTTTTCCTAAAATTATAATATATTATTTTCATATAAAATACGATATGAATATGATATTTTACACGATACAATAATATGAAATGTCAATTCTACTTAAAAGTATCAATCCAATTTTATTTTATTTGATCAATTTATTATGTACAACTCTATTTGTAAGAGAATGTTATATTTGTAAAAAATAGCCTCTTCGTAAGGTGTTGTTATTTTTGTAATGTTCAAACCAATAGCCATCCCTTACCTGAGTTTGGTTCTCAAAACCATCTCTTGGAAAGTGCCACTGTTGGAATTTGCAAACTCCCCTCTTGCCCAATTCCATTCCAATTGACCCAGCAATTGACTAAGGGTCTGCAAAACTTAGCTGAGAGAGCTGAGACACCATCACGCAAGCCTCGCAACTGAAAACACAGATCACAACTTTAAGTTGTTATCATTACATTATTCTTTTGCAGTAGTTTGTTCGGCTTAGGACCTGTCGATGTTGGTGGATAACCACGTTGCAACACCATATATACAGGCATTTCATGTTAAATGATTTCCAAAACCTGTAACATACATGTAATGACCATATTATTCTCAACTGAATTCTCTTTTACCAACTGGACAACATAAAAAGAATATCAATAACATAACTGGCTTTTCCTTTTTCCCTTTTCTTTTAACTAACAGAGAAAAGAACATAAGACATGAGTTGAACTTCAACCCAATTTAAAATTCATAGACTACAAGAATAGCATACAGTGTTGGTAAAGTTCATACCGCCTACTTTCAACTACGGTCAATAATTAAAAAATTATTATTATTATTACAAAGTACAATTACCCTAAGCTAAACGGTAGAGGGACCAAGATAAATGCCAGCCAGCTTATCAACAATCATTTACATTGATACCAAACAAAAAAAAATAAAAACAGACCCTGAAAAAGGATAAAGGAAGAAGGTAATAATTCATCATTGACGATCAAGCACACATAACAAAGGCTAAAAGGTTTAGAATAAACACAGCCACAGGTGGTAAGCTCACTCTTCTCTCATTTTATATTCTACCTCAATCCTCTAAGCTGCTTTGCCTCTATCACCTCAATTTTTTAGAAGGTTTTAGAAAATAACCTTGCCATTCTAAGCAAACAAAATAATTGAGTTCTCTATTTAGCTTAGTTCCCACATAAGGAGAGCAAATGTTGGAAGACTTCAGTTAGCACGGCTAAGTAATACTTCACCATAAGATTTTAATTCCGGGAAGCGCTACATGGATTTTATCACTTCTAAATCCAGGGAGGGAAGGACAGGGAATTCAGAGAGACACATTATAATTTGATACTCTACTTGCAATAAGCCTTTTATCCTAGTATCATGGTACCACTTTGGTATTGGATCCTCCAGAAAAACCAAAGGTAAACCTTGACGATAAGAAAATAATTAATGATACCAAAATAGATTGATGCCTTAAATGGGAAAAAGGATCCAGTGAAGTAGGCATGGATGAGGGGTATTATAGTAATTTTGATTAAATATAATAAGGAGTATTTTTGTAATTATAATAGCATGACATAATAGTAATTTTGGTATTTCTGTAATTATGGTAGAAGGGCATTGTCATAATTTTGACTAATTATAAGAAAAAGGTATTTTCTTAATTATAATGAAAAAGCATTATAATAAATTTAGATACATATCAAAATCACATCAAATAAACAAAGCGGTGTTATAACAATTTCTACGGGAATTATTTTAATATGTTATTTAACATTTAATAAGAATTTAATAGGGTTATTATAGTGAATTTAAAACAAAATTTCACATGTCAAATTTTTATTAAGCAACGGCCAAGGTATTTTAGTAATTTAGTATGTAGTTAATTTTATATGATGTTAAAATTTCATATGTAATTTAATCATGATATTATAGTAATTTTTAAATAAAATATCACATGTCAAATTTTTATAAACCAGTTGTAATGATATTTTAATACTTTAATATGTGATTGATTTTATGTTAAAAATTAATATATAATTTAATAGATGTGTTATAGTAATTTTGAAACAAAATACCACATGTTAACTTCTTATGAAGTACTCATAAAAGCATTTCCATTTGAAAGGCATTATAGTAAATTTTTGCCATTTGTGGTAGGGGTATTTTTGTAATTTTATTAAGAACCATACTTTAGTAATTTTAGTCAATTATACTATGAGAGGTATTTTTGTAATTATTGTAAGAGAGTATTATAATAATTTTAATTAATTATAAAAAGATAAGCAATTTTGTAATTATGATATAAATGTATTATAGTAAATTTAGATACATATCGATATCATATCAAATAAACAAAGGGTTGTTATACTAATTATCAAAAAGATTGTTTTAATATATATTATTAATTTTGAAACAAAGTATCACATGTCAACTTTCTATTAAGCATTCATAAAATCATTTTTGTAGTTATGGTGAAAGAATATTATAGTAATTTTGATCAATTATGAGAAATGTATTTTTATAATTATGTCAGGAAGGTATTATAGTAATTTGAGTCAATAATAAGAGAATTGATATTTTTGTAATTTAATAATAAAAAAAATATTTTTATAATTATGGTACAAGGATATTATAATAAATAATTATAAGAGAATGTGTATTTTCTTTATTATGATATGAGAGTATAATAATTAATTTAAGAGAAGAATTTTCTATAATTATGATATGGAGTATTATAGTAAATAATTATAAAAGAAAAAGATATTTTTTAATTATGGTATGAAGGCAAAATAATCAATTTGGTTATATATCAAATTCTTATCAAACCAAGAGAGGGGTAGTTTGATCATTTTTTAGGGGTTTATTTTCAATATATGAATAATTTTTAAGTTAAATATTAAAACTAAATATTTGAATTTTAAAATTTTTTAATAATTTAAATTATAAATTTATTAATTAATTTGATATTTACTTTTAATCTTATAAGTTTAAATAATGACATGTGATTAATAAATAGCATATCATATTAATTAAAAAAATTATAATTCAAATATCCAATTAAAATTTTTTTAAATCAAATCACATAAAACATTTTAATCTTCCTCTTTTACTACTAAATTATTTTCATTAAAAATTAAAATAAGACTTTTGTAAAAAAAAACACATCAAAATTATCAAATCAATGTGAAAGAATATATTTTTAAAATTATCTAAAAATAAATCCAATTAAAATTTTGAAAATATTTTTGATTATTTTAAAAGAATAAAATAAAATAAGTTTAAATTATATTCTTTGTTAATAAATAAATAAATGTATTTTCACTAAATTTAATGGTAAAAGTTTTACATTTAACAAATTTTAAGTTACAAAAAAAGTAGTACTGTAAATAAAAATTAACCATGCAAAGCATGAATTCAGAAATTTTAATTATTTTTAAAAAATTTTTATAGTAATAATCAAGTATTATATCATATAATTAATTATTACATCATAATCAAATTACAATCATAAAATAATTAATTAACAAACTATACTAAGTCCTTGTCCCAGTAGCTAACACCCTATATTTATTATTGCTTTGAAAGATTATGCATTTAATTTATTTATTTGATGGGATTTTCTTGCGTATGAGATATATCAACTTATTATTATTATTTTTATTTTGGAATATTTTGTAACCCTATAAAAAAATAAATGCATTTTGCGATCATTTTCATCGATCAATGCTGAATTGGCTCATTTTGTAAAGTAATACTAATTTCCAAAAGACAGTGCTTCCTTCCAAACAAAACAAATACCAAAAACAGAGTTCCAACGGAGACAAAAAGCTCTGTTGAAAGTGCAAAATCATCAAAGTACTCTTTCTAAGCAATCTGAGTAACCAAATCCACAACTCTTTCTACAACCATTTTAACAGAATAATCAGCTAAAAGAAATCCCTCATTTAAAAGATCAAATCACCAAATTTCTTTTGACAACAAAAATAAACTTTATCCAAATCTTCACCACAATCAAACTAAAGGCAAATCATAAGAGCTCCTATGACACCTAAACACATCTTTTGAAGATGTATAACTCAAGAAAATTGCCTACAACTGAGTAGCGACAAGTTGTGATGCAACTCTCAATGAAAGAAAACCATGCTTGTCGCCAATATGGATTTATGTATAGAACAACAAAAATTACCAATAAAACAATTACATAAGAAACCAGAAAGCTCACACAAAAAACATATGTGTCCATGAAACTACCTTCTCCTTCATCATCTGCCGTAGTTGGTACTGTTGTTGGTGAGTCAGTTTTAGAGCAGTTATTTTGCAGTGGAGGCCCACAAAGAAGAGGGTTTCCCTCGTAACTGCTTTCATCAAAGGTCCCAAACTGAGCTTTTGGTTCTGGAGTACTACCTGACAAGTTGTTGTGTGCCACACTGAAAACCTCTAGAAAGTTCAACTCAACCAACTGTATAGGGATTCTCCCACTCAAGTTGTTGTAAGAAAGGTCCAAACTCTCAATTTGCTTAAGTTGTGAAAATGATGAAGGTATAACTCCGACTAAGTTATTGTGTGACAAGTTTAACGAACGGATTTCACTCAGGTTTCCCAGTTCCACTGGGATTTGCCCAGTTAACCTGTTACAAGATAAATCAATCCCAGACATGTACTTAAGAATGTCACCACCGTATGAGTAGGACACACTCTTTGTTGTAAACTCTATCCATTCTTTCATGCTGCTACTAGGAAAAACATGTGATAAATCAAACCAAATGTCTATTGGTACTAGTAGATGCTGTATTCGATTTGCTATATAAAAATAATCATCCATGCGAGACTTCTCCTCTTGCATTGCCAGAGTTAAATTGCCCAAACAAGAAGGTATAGGACCAGAAAACATATTTCCAGAAAGATCTATGATGCTCAATGAATACAACTTGCATAATTGAACTGGAATTTCACCGTTTAAATGATTATCTTTCAAAAGAAGGACGCTTAAAGCAGAAAATGTGCCAATCCTTTTTGGAATATTACCGGTCAAATTGTTCCCTCTAAGATCTAATGTCACTAATGCAGAGCTACTAAAAACAAGTGTCAATGGACCACTTAGTCTGTTTCTCTTCACGTGGACATGTCTCAAATATGGTGGATTGAAACAAGAAGGAATAGAGCCAGATAAATTGTTTTGAGAAAGCTCCAAAAATTCAAGCTTATACAAGTTGCACAATTCCATTGGAATAGAACCTTCGAAATGATTGTTGGACAAAGCCAATCTCTTCAAATGCGGTACATTCCCTATCCATCTTGGGAGCTTTCCATTAAAACTGTTATTACTGAGATCAATATCCTCTAGTGATGAATATGACAAATCAGAAGCAGAGACATCAATATCAGGAATCTCTCCGGTAAAATTATTGCCATCCAAATACAAATTTGACAACTTGCTTGTGTTGAACATCATAGGAACAATCTTTCCACTTAGGTTGTTGTTTGATAGCCTAAGAATATCTAATGAACTTCCCATGATCAACTCTTCTGGTAATCTTCCAGACAAATGATTGTCCGATAGGTCTAAAAATGATAAAGTGTCCATGCCACTTAAACAAGGAGGGATATTACCTTCAAAGGCATTCTTAGATAACAATAACCATTCCAAATTTGGAAAAGTTGAACATATATTTGTCGGAATTTGGCCTTGTAATTTGTTTTTAGATATGTCAATTACAGACACTTTAGGATTAGGAAGTTGTGGTAACAAGAGAGGACCGGTGAAAGAATTGCCCAACAAGAAGAGATTTTCTAATTTTGTGTTATTTTCTAACAACCATAACGGGACTGTTTCACTGAAATAGTTATAGGAAAGATCAACATATCCCAAGTCATATTGGTAATAAAGGAACTTAGGAGGTTGTAGGCTAAGTCCTTTATCTGTTGTACACTTTGACAAGCTGAAAACATTTAGTTGAAACTTTGGAATTGAAGTATGAAAGGAATTAGGTTCCATTACTATATTGTTTTCATCAGCCAAGAGAAACTTGAGATTTGGAAGGTTTGCAAGTGATAGGAATGGCATTGAAATTTGACAACGATTTCTTGAAAGGGTGACAGATCTAAGTGATGAAAGATTTGCTAAATGAGTCAAATTTCCAGTAAATTGATTGTCGGAGATATCTAACTCAAGAAGAGATGTCAAGTTACCCAAACAATAAGGAAGTATCCCCTCAAATGCATTCTCTTTGATGTCCAACTTTTCAAGGTTCTTTAAATCACACCAACCTGAAAATTTTATAAATTCATGGAAGAAATTCTAATTAAATTTTAATTTCCATGTCAAATTATATAGGAGATATTAGATAAAAGAAATAGAATAAAGGATTATTAGAAAGAGATGTATTCTGTAAGTTATATTGGAGAAATTATGTAGTCTTTAATTTACCTTGATTAGGCAAGGAACCCATGAGTCCACAGCCAGATAAAGACAAAGTTTTAAGAGAAGTGAATACTCCAATGCTTTGCAAAATGTTGTTGTTGAGATAAGAACCGTCTAGAAATATTTCCTCCACATTGCTCCACACATGCAATTCTGAGTAATCATAGCATGGAGGCATTATTAGATGTTAATCAACAAACATCTACTAATTTTTAGTCCTTTTGGAATAAATTAATGACTTACCTTGATCTTGAGTAGTCATAGTCTTGTTTAAGTAATTCCCTAGTAGAACGAAGGTCTTAACCGATGGGAATGCCTCTACTAATTTTAGTAGTAATGGAATGCTTCCATTGGTGAAAACCCCAATTAGATAAAGAACTTTTAACTTTTTCAAACTCTTATATTCTGTAAATGGAAAAAATAAACAAGTGTAAATTTTTATTTTTGTAGATAAGATTATATATCCAAGATTTATGCGAGATGAATTTTTAATAGAGAAGAATATTGAAACGGTAACAATTTTTAATATAAATTTTAATATACAAAACAATCAAGAAGATGAAAATCAAACAAAACTGTAACATGAAAAGGCAAAAAATTTTTAAAGGGAATAAGAATGAGCAGTAGTCTAAAACAGAATGGCAAAAAGCAAACAAGTCCAACTCTAAACACAACAAGCTAATACAAATAAAAATGGAAATATTTGGTATGCAACTGCAACATTTCTTAAAAAATGCAATTACCTAATGCAAATATATATCATTTCTAATTAGTAATCAAATTATAATGTATTTCTTCCTTTAAAAAATTAGGTTTAATGAGAGCATTTCACCTACAATTATTGTAATACAATTAAGTAATCACAATTCAAAATTGTGTGAGGTCTAACAAAATTTTATGTGGAGGTCACACTTATAAATGGTGGATTCTTATGTAATTCTTTATTATAATTAGAGAATTGTAATATTGTAGTAAAAAGTATATAATAAATAATTAATTTCTTTCTTTAAAAAATTAAGCATTAAATTTTAATATGCTAAATTTGTTGATCATTAAAACATCTACACCATTATAAACCTCACAAATAAAAATAAAAAATTTATTTAAATCCATACCTTTACAGGCCACAAATTCATTCAAATCATTATAGCTCATATCCAGTTCCTCTATGTTGGTAAAAGCACCTAAGTCTGGAAAAAAAGTAATATATAAATTTCATTAAATCATCTCAAAACACGAAATGTGTTTTTTTTTTAAAAGTATTTATAACAGAGTTAAAATTTTGGTTGAAAAGTAATAATTAATTAGATTATGACTTAAATCAAGCTTTTAGAAATTGGTCAATTTTAACTGTCTCCCTATATCTATAAATAATTTACATAATTTCATCATTAAAGAAAAGAGACAGATAAACTTATTTGTTATATTATCTTGAAACATGAATTAAGATTTTTGTTAACAAATTCAAAATTTTTGCAAAAAAAGTAATTTTACCTTTCATATCTATTGATCCATTTAACTGATTGGAGCTTATATGCAAATACTTCCAAATTTGAAAGCCGCTAAGTGATGCAAATATGGCTGTCCTTAATGAGATTATCACTCAAATCAAATTCTTCTAAATGGGTTAAGTTCAGCTGTCTCCCACTATCTACATAAGGTTTACATAATTTCATCACTAAAAAAAGATTTACATAATATTTAATTATATATAACAACTTAACTAATTGAACAAATATAAATGCATACCTTGTGAGGATTGAAGGCTTTCAATTTTGTTGGAGTGTAAATACAACTCCTTCAAATTCTTTAAATTATTCAATTCTATGTCCAAGTTCAATTCAAATAATCATTATGTTAGCCTGGTTACTCAAATAATCTTTTCCTGAATATTTTTAATGACTTTACAATGAAATAAACGGCAAAACAAATCTAAAGCTTTAAATGAAGAGGAAAAATCCCCAAATGTGATATGAGATTTTACCTATTTGATGAGCAAAAGGGTTCTAAAATAGAATTAAAAAAAAAAAAAAGGGAGTTGTAATAGCTTTACCTTTAATATCTATTGAGCCTTGCAATTGGTTGTTCCCCATATACAGGGACTTTAGACTTGGAAGGCCAGAAAGGATTGCAAAAGTGTCGTTCTTGAAGAGATTATTACTTAAATCAAGAACCTCCAAATTGGTCATCCTTAGTTGTATCTTCTTTCCTGTAGAAGAATATTTCTATTATATGCTACTGTTAATGGGAAATTTTATACATTGATCACATAATTAAGAACTTAGTTGAGTGAATTGAAATATATATTTTTACCTTGCTTTGATGGTTAGGAGCTTTCAATTTTATTGTAGCTTAAATCTAAGTTCTCCAAATTTATCAAATTATTCAATCGTATTCCATACCAAAGAGCAATTAATATTATGTATAAAAGCAAATGTTATGCAACACCTTTTCCTGAAACAACAATTGATTTGAATGTAAAAGAAAGGTAAAGCAAGTTTACCATGAATATGAATGGTTCCTTCCAAGTGATTTGCACTCAAATTTAAAGTCCTTAAAGATAAAGACCATTCATATGAAACAATATGTTATTTTTCAAAGAGTTGTACCTTAAATTAAGAGTTTCCAACTTACTAAGTCTTGAAAGCCATTGAAAACCTATAATGAAGACAGATTAATATTTTAATTACTGTTTATCATTCATAATCATTATTAGATTAATTTAATTCCACCGTTTGCATGACTGGATCCAGTGAACAAGTTTCCTGCTAGATATAAATCCTTGAGAGATAAAAGCTGACTCAAAGATAATAAAACTGTATCATTGAGGTAATTGAAACTTAAGTCAAAGATCTCCAAATTTAGCTTTGCAAAACCTGCAAGAGAGTTCTTTTAAATATATAATAAAGACTTAGTGGCTTTTCATCAATTAAACAATAATAGAATTAAATATGAAATTATAAAAATGAAAAGTTATGAATGAATTTTCATATTGCGAATTAGCAATGAAAGGACAAAAGGGACCTTCATTTTCAACAAAACCAGCGATGCTATTCCCGTCCAAATGAAGAAGCTTCAATTCCTTGAAAGGAAGAAACAAAGAGGCATTCAGATACCATCTTTCATTGTAGGACCGTCTTGTATCATAAAGAAAGAGTCCTATGACTCGCCCGAAGGAGGAGGAGGAGGAGATGTTGCATTCGACCTTTCCCATTGGCAGCAATCTGAACCCTTGTCCCTCCACCCAGCGGTTCAGATCTTTATAATGGTTGAAGAAAGGTTTGAGTTGGCAAGAGAGCAATCCTCTCATCCTCCAACACGCATCAGTACTATACCATCTGCATCCTTCTAAACACAACAACAACACACTCAACCACAACCATTTGGGTTCCATCATCTCCTTCTCTATTATATCTCTATATTTTCAATTCTCTCTCAACTGCTACCTCTAAATATATAATAATAAGCCTTGCATCGAACTTAATATTATATAGACAATCAAGGAGTCAAAGCAATAACAGTCATCCTATAAAATGGCTCTTGAATATAAATTGATTAAAATTTGTCTACAGAATATTTTGTTAAATATTTTAATTTGGTTTATTATTTTTTATTCAAAAACAATATATATTGACAGTGCAGTAAGGAAATCAAGTCAAGGAAACGTTGGCAAGTCAAGGTCCTCGTTTACACTCTGTTTTGTAGGAAAGAAAGAAAAGGGAAAGGAAAAGAAAATTCCCTCTTCCTTTCCTTCTTACCAAAAGGAGTGTTAGTCTCTTTCTTTTTCTCCTATCGGTGGTGAATTCTACTGTTCTTGGAATTGAAACTTCAATAAATTAGTCACTAAAATCACTCTCTCTTGAAAGTGGCTGACATAATTTAGAAAAAATTTTGCAATGAGACAAGTGCGTGCCTTTACGTGAAAAATCAAGCAATAGACTTTTATTTTCCACAAATTAAAACTTTGTTCATGCTATATATAGATATATATATATATATATATATAAGGTTTTGTCTCAATAATAAGAAAGAGGGATTGGAAGCATTAGATTTTATGATCAAATCTCATTGTATATATGTTGGATTTAATTTAAAATTTCTATAAATATACTAATTTTCTATTATTTAATTGTTTTGATTATTATTATTTTTTGTATCGATGATCAATCTTGATAAAAAATCATTCATTTCACAATCGTTCTCTTAGTTGTATAGTTGGAGTACTTGTTAAACCCAACTACTTTTTAGGTTATTGGTCAAAAGACTTGGATCCAGTCCTAAATATGATTTTTGAAACTTGAGTTCAACTTGAGAATTTTATTATATTAATAAATAATATGTTTTAATTAAATTTTAATTTAAAATATTAATATAAAATATTATTAACATTTTAATAACAAATTTAATTGAAATAAGTAAATTAGTTTGGGAACATTTCACTTATAATTTTTTATTACAATATTATAATTATTTAATTATATTAAAAAATTATATATGGATTCATCACTTATATGTGTGTGCTTTATATAATATTTTGATAAATCTCACATAATTTTAAATTATGATTAGTTACATAATGATTGTAAATGACACTATTGATTTTTTTTTTCATTTTGTAATTAATACTTTAGCCCATAGTGTGGCTTTTTCATGAAATTGTGGAGTTTGGGTTAAAAATTCTTTCAACGTTTTCCATGTGACTTCCTGTTACATTCTATTTCTTCTTGGAAAGAAGAAACTTTTATTGCGAGTTCCATTTGGTTTCTATTTTTTTAAAGGCATTTCATATCTACTTTTAAATCTATGAAATTATAACATCAGATATTGCATTGTTTGAAAGGATCGTCGTATTGGCGTCAACTTTTAAATTCACATTGTCTTCATATCCACATTATTTAATTGAAATATATATTTGGATTCTTAAAGTATATGTATGAATATAAAATGTTGTGATTTGTCTACGAGTTTTTCATTTTCTTTTCTGATTTCTCTGTAAATGATTAATAAAATAGTAACAAACAATCAATAATTTGATATTAAATTTCATAATTTTAACAGTAAAATTTTACATAAGCTATTAATAAAGGATAAAAAAAATTTATACTTTCATATATCAATAGAATGAAGCTTTCGCTTTGCATGGGATATATATATATATATATTTAAAATTATTTATAAAAAATAATTTTAAATTGAATAATATGATAAATAATAATACTTAAAAGATGCTTTTTTATTTAATTTTTAATTTTTCA